TTGGCATTACTGCTACTTTAGTTAGCGCCCCATACGTGGGACGGCGCTGGATGTGGAGGGCTTTACCACATAGCTTTCCACGGTATGCGTGTTGTTCATTCTTCATTTTTGACGTCTTGCGCGGGTGCATGGTTTCAATGCGCGTGGATGGTGTGAGACCCAGCCGACAACGTTCAGCTTTCCCGTTCTTTTTTTTTTCTATTTTTAAGTGGACAACTGGGTCTTAAATATCGAGCCTATGTCAGACTAAATGCTGATGAAAACCCTCCGAGACCACGGTGACAACGACGGATCTCCGGAGGTCGACTCGTCCAGCGTCTCCGTTAGCGCCGCGTGTTCGGGGGACCGTAGCCCTCGCGATTAGCTCTTTCAACATCACGGTGCGTTGAATGCAATGCAATGAATGCAATAGCTACAAACTGTAATGTTATATGAAGTAATTAAGGCTGGCAGCCAACTCTTTTAGATTTGATATCACAGAGCTCCTACAAAACGCTGGTGTAAGCAAATGGGCCACTTTAGGGAGAAGTGCCCTTTTGACACAGTCTCTTCGAGTTGAAAGCGCACTGATGCTTGCCGAGATAGCACACCCGCTGGCAATCGCAACCCAGCCCTTAAAATCAAAGTACACCTTTGCTACAGTCTCTATTCTTGTTGAACTGCATACATATTTGTGCCCGATTATTGTGGTTCGCCGATTTCCTTTGTAGCTCTCACAGAAAATAATCTTTTTTCTGATAAAGAACATGAAATGATTGATATTTTAAAGAGTGCGTTCTGTACCAGAAAAATAATTGCACATGTGAAATTAGCAAGTAAATTACACATACATGAAAGCTTTATAAAAATTCGCCCAAAAATTAAGTATTGAGGAAGCCCAACAACACTTTTCCAAGCAGCTATAGAATGGGTTCTTTAAGGGGGGACGCGGGCCTTAGAATGGTGAAAAATGGCCAAAAAGTCGATTTTGAGAAAATGCGATATTCGAAATTTTTAGACCTATAAGCACGTGTCCTCAAATTGTGAACGCTGAATTCCCTCAGTAAATGGATTAAAATTGATTATGAAGTCGCCACGGGAGCCGCAAAACAACTCACGGCAGGTCAAGTTCGTTCAAACTTCCCTTGCGCGCCGCCGGCGAGGCAGTCGGCCGATCGCCGCCATCTTGGGCTTGTTTTGAAGCCGATTCCTTTATGCGCATTTTGCCACCCTTCTAAATGGCGTCGCTTAAACAGAACGGCTGCCCTCGCCCCTTTTGCGGAGCCCCCTTCCGGGCCGCTGATTGACCGGAGCGCGCGCGCACCAGGCGAGCCCCCTGTTCCTCGCTTCCCATTGGCTGATGCAGCCAAAGTTGCCCACGCTTTTTTTTATATATTGTTCGTCGGCCGCTGGTTCCGTTCGCGCACGTTGTTCGTCTGCTTCCCGCACGTGCCTGCTTGTGCTACGCGACCGACGCACCGACTTTCCGTCTTTTGCCGGCATGATTGGAAACGCTCGTCTAAAAAAGAAGATGCTCCAAGCGTACGGCAAGAAACGGAGGCGCCCGTGGAACGCCCGCCAGAAAAAAGCAGCCGACAACGTGCCGCCGAAGCCGCGCATTCCGACGACGACGCGCAGCCGCGGCCGGTTGTGCCCGAAGCGGTGCACTCTCCTGTGCCTTGCAGCAGCACCTCATCGGATCATGTCGACGTCGGATCGTCATCTTGCACTTCCAGCAGTATCTTAGACCGCATTAACACGGTGTTTTATTCGGCGGACAAGTTTGCCGAGTTCGCGAGAAATGCAGCGGGCTTGAAGGCATCACTCGCATCGCAGTGCGCGACGAAACGTAAGTTCGAGTTACTAGATATAGACCTGGAAGATGGTGGCAAAGAAAACGGGACAGAATTTGTTATTGTTGATCTGGCGGCAATACGCTCGTTATTTGGACTTGTCGCGTGCCCAGAATGCTGTGAAAGAAGCGTCATTATTTCAAAGGCCAAGAAAGAGTACGGGCTGTGTTCGAAGCTCATTGTCACGTCCACGCAGTTGTGACTTTCGCGAAGAGAGTTTTTCGTCCCCACGTATAGCCGACGAGACTGACGCCAAAATAAGGCCGTTTAAAGTTAATATGCGTGCCATGAAGGCCATCAACAGTATCGGCAAGGGGGCAACGGCTCTGTCGGACTGCTTCGCCGGGATGAATATTTCGCATCGAGGGCTTCACCACAAGAGTTACCAAAGCCACATGAATATAATGAAAGAAGCCTGCTGTGCGACTGCTGCCGAATGCAAAGTGGCGAGCGTTGCTCACGTCAAGGAGCTCTATGTAGAGTTCGGCAACGCACCCGGAAACGTCGACGTCATTTATGACGGCACCTGGCTTACGCGTGGACATAGCTCGCATATATGTGTTGGCTGCATTGTCGAGATGTATAGTGGCCTCGTGATAGACCATATCGTGCTATCCAAATTTCGCCTGGCTTGCAACACAGGATCCAAGGAAGGAGAAGCAGGACATTCTGCCTGGCTCATTCAGCATGCCCCTCTGTGCCAGAAGAATGTTGATTGTAATGCTGGCCAGATGGAAGTGGAGGCAGCACTACGCTTGTTTGAGCAGTCACTTGAAAAGCACAAGCTTCGTTATACGACAATGCTGTCGGACGGCAACAGCAGGACATTCCATGCACTCACAGAAAAAGAGGTGTACGGCTTCATAAAGGTGGCCAAAAAGGACTGCATAAATCATGTACACAAGCGTATGGGAGCTGCCTTACATACCCTTGTAGAGAAAAAAAAAAAAAGCTCAAGGTGGCTCACTTGGTGGAAAGGGCAGACTTGCGCAACAAAAGATAAAGAAGATCACCTCATACTATGGCTACACATTGAGAAGCCACAGGAACAATGTTCCAGGTATGCAGAAGGCTGTTCTAGCAACTTTGAACCACATGTCTTCAACTGACGAGGCACCAAAGCATGACCTTTGCCCTGAAGGCCCTGAATCCTGGTGCAAATTTCAGAGAGCTCTTGTGAAAAATGAGAAGCTGCCACCACACAAGGACCGCCTGCCTGATTTCGTAACTGAGGCATTGGAGCCTGTGTTTAGGCGGCTGAGTGACAATGCCCTCTTGGAAAGGTGCAGCGATGGGATCACCCAGAACCCAAGTGAGAGCCTGCACGCTATGATTTGGCAGCAGGCCCCCAAAACTCAGCATGCATCCTTGCAGAGCATTGAAAGGGCAGTTGCAGAAGCCTTCAGCCGCTTCAACCAAGGCACAACCAAGAGCAACATGGAAATTGCCGAGAAGCTGGGCTACAGTGCTAGCAATAACTTGGTGCGTCGCAACCTTGAGAAGGACAAGGGCAGGCTACAAAAATCGCGAAGAGAGCATCTCGACAGCAGTTCAATAAAGGAAAGACTTTCAAAGCATCACAAGCCAGCAGGGGACTCTGCTTACAGCCCTGGTCTGCTGTAAACAGTCATAATGGCAAATAGTGAGAATTTTTGCAACAATAAATATTCTTGGTTTTAGACCTAAGCATTGTGTAAATCTATTGTCTATCCAAAGACAACATTATTACATGATTTTTTTGTGTTCCTTTCACTTTCAAGGCACTGGAACGACCACAAAGTAAAAAAATAATAATTATTCTCATGCTGAGTCAATGACTATTTTATAGTTATAGACCAAGCTGTGAGCAGTATTTTGGGTAGGTACAGTAAAATTTAGCATGTACATTTATTTTATAATATAGAGCTACAGAATGATGTCATTAATATCGCTGTAGCTTCACTTTAGCAAAAGTTAAAGTTGCTAGAAACTTCAAACACGTTTTTCTCAGTTCAATGTTTTTGCACATTTCACTCGGCCTTACGGGGGTTTTTCCTATGTTAAACTTGAGTGAATGCGACAAAGTTGGTATCATTTTATTCGTCTTGACATGATCTAGGGGGTGATGCTATTTCTATTTTTCTAGCATCACTTCAAAAATTACCATTGAGGATTTTAGTGAGAGAAATTTATTGTAACATAGTGACTATAAGTGTTCATCTGTCTTCTTGCTTATAAAATGCCTTCAAATGGATAAAAATAGCATCACCCCCTACAGCAAGTCTCCAGCATTGGGATTATGCATTCACTTTTTGGATTTAGCAAGAATAAATTGCCAAGAAGTCCCGTAAGAAGTACGCAATTAATTAAGATTCAGACCTTCATATCTTCTAAACCACTTGAAATATTAAGAAACAAATCAGAGATTTGAAATCAGCATGAAAAACTAGCTTAGGTAGTGAAGTTTTGTTAAGATTGAGCAAAAAATTTTAAAAAAACTCTTAGAACCCACGTCCGCCCTTAAATGAGCTTATTGCCTCATGAATTCACAAATGCAAAAATTTTTAGAATCCACCCAGTGCAAGCATAGTTACAAAGATTCGCCACACACTGCAATTGCATTCTATCTTCTCTTGTCTCGACAAAAGCAATGGAGGTTAAACAGGAAGAGATGGCCCGGACAGGGAAAATGTGTTATGCGAGGCTCATGATCTCATCAACTTTTTTTCTCTCTCTCTCTTTTATTCTTCGAATACACGGCTTTTCAGCACGACCACGTCCGCATGCGTGGGCAAGTCGCGTCCCCAATAACAACCGAGCATGCCATGTTCTAATCAGCCAATGGCCAACACTTCGCCTAGGACCCAGCGATTTTGGATCTGTAGCGTCGCTTGTCAAGAAAAGAGAAAACGATTTTTAGCCGACTGAGAATTTATTGCAAATTTCAGGTCACGTGCTGCGCTATCGTATTTGACACGTGTGTTCACGCGAGCTTCAATTACCAATCGGCAGCATTTTCCGACTATGCCCAAAAAGTGTTGCAGGGCCTCTTATCAAGTGGGGTCTCCTGCCATAGCAAAAAATAAAGGCACAATCACTACTGCATAACTAATAACACACACCAAAGGATGCAACAGTCCTCAGAATCGTAGCACTCTACAAGCAAACGAACAATGTCTGTAGACTCACTTTGACGTTGCGGATTCCTGGGATGGCATCTTCGGGAACTCCTTTTTCGACTACTTTCTGGTGCAACTGTAAAAGTTTGAACAGTAAATGACAAATGAATGGATCACAACAACGAAGAAACTATTCCAGTATCGGCCGAAAGCCAAAGCATAATAATAATGATTGTTCTGGTATACCCCTAAGGTGGGAACCCTCCCACTTTAGGGTGATACCGGGCCTCGCTCGGAACACTGTTTCTAAATAAACATTTCTCTCTCTCTGTCTCTCTGGTTTTGCTTCCCAAAACCACGCCATAGTCATTGAAAATTTTAACCCCCTAGGATTCTTTAAAGGGACAGGGAAGTGAAACAACGAATCAGTTCAGATTGATAAATTGTACTCCAACATCTAGTTCAGAATGCCATCACAATAAACGGTGTAAAACATAAAATGGCTACGAGCCGTGGGTGCCCCACAAATACCAAAAAACAATCATTTCTGCTCTCGATGCCATTCAGCATTCCTGCAAGGCACGAAAAAGGTAGTCGCCAGATCACATCATTATATAAACACTAATCGCAATTGTTTTGGTGATGCACTGGATATGTCAATGTTGTGTTCCCTAGTTGTCCGATTTAGAAGTGTAGGTAGTTGAAACTTCAACATTTGCTTGCCGTATTTCATTCTACATTTTGATATGTGACCCGCTTCAGGTTGACGTGCATTATAAGCAGGAAAATATTTCTCTAACCTAGCTGTTCTGGCAATCCTATCATGAGCTTCTAGTCTCGTTCCTTATGAATCCTCATTCAGAGGTTGAACTTAACGTTGACCCGCACGCAGTGATAAAAACTGACTGCCGCTTGGAGCGACGTCAAGTGAAGCAAGGCCGCAAACTTTGCGGGCCAGGTGGCGACTTCGGGTGCATCATGGCCGCTAACAACGAGGTGCGGTGCCTCAGTGAATTTTGTGACTTATCACTGTTTCTAGGCACTATCTCAAGCAGCAAGACTACATCAGTACAGATGATGACGCAGCTGTTACTGACTGCATCAATGATGCATCAATCAATGCTGTTGTGGACCAAGGGGCTGAATTCGCTTATTTGAAAAGCTTCAATGATATTGAGGGTGACTAAAACTTGACAGTGTGCAAGAAGCAAGACAAGTTTACGGACTGTATTCATGCAAAATAAAGTGCAGCAACTTTCAGTTCAAACCTTGTTTTTCATTATACTGTGAGCGAATCTTTATGCTAGTGCTTGCAATGATTTCCAAGGCCTGAAATGCTTTAATATAGGCTTTAAATAAGCATATTTTGTATTTCGAATTCTTGATACATCGAACTATTTCGCGATCCCCTTCAGGTTAGATATATTATCTGGGATCGACTGTATTCGCATGTCTGAGTACCTTTGAGATAGTACACAAACATCAGGGGGCAGGTTATAACCGCGGAGCGGAACCACGAGATTGAAGTAACTAGAAAAATAAGAATGGGGTGGATCACATTTGGCAAGCACTCTCAAATTATGACAGGTAGATTGCCACTATCCCTCAAGAGGAAGGTATATAACAGCAGTATCTTGCCGGTACTTAGCTACGGAGCAGAAACCTGGAGACTTACAAAGAGGGTACAGCTTAAATTGAGGACGACACAGCGAGCAATTGAAAGAAAAATGGTAGGTGTAACCTTCTTAAGAAACAAGAAGAGAGCAGAGTGGATTAGGGAACAAACGGGGAACAAACGGATATCATAGTTGAAATCAAGAAGAGGAAATGGACATGGGCCGGGAATGTAGCACGTAGACAGGATAACCGCTGGCCATTAAGGGTAACTAACTGGATTCCCAGAGAAGGCAAGCGGGTTAGGGGGAGACAAAAGTTTAGGTGGGCAGATGGCATTAAGAAGTTTGCGGATATAAATTGGCAGCAGCAAGCACAGAACCGGGTTAAATGGCGAAACATGGGAGAGGCCTTTGTCCTGCAGTGGACGTAGTCAGGCTGATGATGATGATGACAAACATCAGTGACAGCACCAGAATATACTGTAAAGCATCTATACATTTTACCAACATACCCATTTTACCAACCATCAGTTTTGTAACCACCAATGACTGTACTAGCGACTATGGTTTTTGCAGTTGGATTTGCTTGCTTTGCTAGGACCAGTTACGCCCAATAAACAGTTTTACTAAAAGGCGGGCGAGTTAGAACCTACACATTCCCAGGTAGCACACAAAAGTACTTGTCGCACCTTCTTCCATAATGGTTGATCTGTCTGCGCACCACCCAACAGTCACAGTTTGACTTTCAAAGCTTTGGACTCTGGAAGCTCTATCACCGCGTGAAAATACGGCTGAATGCTGTCCTGCCGCCATGAACAGGTGCACGGTACCCACAGCCGCAGATGTGGCGGAAGTCACGCACGGCCATGGGCACTGTGCGTTTGGTTTGGCTGGTTGTCAGCCACGCCCATCAACCATCAACTACGCCTGATCGCTGCATGGGCGCCATTGTGATCAGCAACATCTGAAAACTACCCCGAATGATTAGGAGCAGTCTGTGATGTTGCTGCAGCCCCGCGAAACAACGAAAATCACACTCCCCACTTCTTTTCTCATGCACTGCGCACTACTAATGAGAACTAATACAAACAAGTGCACTCGTTTTCCACGTAATCCAGTGACATGCGCTCCAGTGAATTGCCGCTGATAAGCATACTTTTTCTCGAGACACCATGAGGTTCATATCACCTGAAGTTTACTTAGCCACTACATTTCAGCCTCAGTTCTAAAAAGATACTCACTTTCTGTTTGCAGATTGGCTCTTTTGTGACTGCAAAAAACACACACAAGAAGAGAGTTAGCGAATCACACAAGGAGAGCTCAACAAGTCAGTGCTCGGGTAGAGAAAAACTAATGAGTGACATGCAATTTCATCTCGTAATCTGTCTTCAATGTGATTATTGCGCAGGAGTTGACATTTTTCTTTAAATTATTACTGGTTAACAAGGCCACACCTCAAGACAGCCGTCTTATTAAGTATAAAGGGTCTATCTTTGCAATTGAAAGTAGCGCAATCCATAGGCATAATGCCTGAGAAATACTTTCAATTTGACATTTCTGCCTAGCACCTTTAGCCAATAGACACTGCCCGCTTCGTCATTGCTTACAAAACACACAAACAAAATGGGGCGCAACCGCTTCGTCGTATGCAACAAAACATGATCGAATCGTGTGCACAAAACCAGCACATGCCAAAAGGGGGTGTATTATACTGTCATCACAGGATCCATAACTGCTGAACTGCATAATTGCAGCAGAAAATAAGCTCTCATATGAATTGCCAACCACATGAGTGATCTTACCGCAGGGTTCCACGCAAGTGCTCGTAATAAGAAAAAAAATAGAGTAATAGGCCTGGTCCAAAGCAAGGGCCTCATCTCGCCAAAATACTGAATTTTAAAAGAAAATGCGGAAGATCCCCAATCCTCTTTCTATAGGACAAGATGCGCTCCCTTAGCAGGTGGTCACATTTACTTCAATAGCCACATGTTGTAGATGTCAGCAAGCTTACACATTTGTACACGTGCTTTTCCCTTACACTGCCGGGATGCCCCTTTCCTACAAATATGTTACGGCACCAACAGGGCATCAGTTCCGTTAAGGGGGGGGGGGGGGGTCACGCGCATTTTAAATATAGCGTTCGTAAAACGTCTGTTGAGTGCGCACTTTTGCCACTTCAGTGACGAACCACTTTGACGTTGAAGACGTGTAAAAATGGGCAAGTACTGTAGTTGCACTGAATCAGAATGGTGCGATGTGGGTGAGTTGGTTAATGTTCCTGGCAGGCGTGAGCAGTGTGAAGCACGGAAGTGCAGGTAAGGGAGGACTGAGAAAGGGAAACTGTGATGCAGAGCCTGTGTTGATCATTCGTATTCGTGCCCTTCCACAAGTCCTCTCTTACCCGAGTTTCCACACTAAAATGCTTCGCGCTTACAGTGTTCATCATGAATGTGGCATTACATGCTGTCTTCGACTTACTGCATCACCTTGCAACGTTGTGGAAAAAAAAAAAAAAGCACCTTGAGGTGTGTCGTCCTTGAGCTGCTCGGGTGTGGGGACTTCGAGGTTGAGTACGTCGTCCAACGTGGAGCCGACTAGCATGAGCTTGGCGTTCGCCGACAGATTCAACTCCAGCAGGCTCTTGCCGTCGTCCGGCTTGGGTGCCCCTGCACGACGGCGGGAGGGAGAGAGAGAATGCAGCTCCTAGGCTAGACTGCGCTATTACACTCAAACCTCGTGATAACAAAGTCGGAGCTGCCACAAAAATACTTTATTATATCCGAAAATTAGCTATAACTGTACATTATTAACACTACAACAAAAATATTCTTTACTTACTTCATTAAAACCGATAATTTATTATATCTGGGTTAGTTATATTGAGGTTATTAGTACAGGTATAACGGCCAGAACTTAAAGGGCCCCTAGACCACCCAGTGTTAGAAATTTAGTTGAGGTGAGGAAGTTGTGCTCGAGTTCACAACGAACACGTAGCCGTGAAATTTTTCGAAACGGTGCCGTAATAGCGGAGTTACACGTGTTTGATGATCGAAACGTGACGATCGCTTCTTTCTTCTTTCCTACGCTACCCTCTTCCAAAACCGCTTGGCCCCTCCTCACTGAGTCAGCTGAGCGCCCCTCCTCATATCGCGTGGCATACGTCACCGCTGACGCGCTGTTCGAGACAGCGTCTACTTCCAGTTGCCGCGATCCGCCACTCTGACGACCCAGCTGGCCGTCAACTGTGTTGCGTGTGCCATCTGGGTGCACTGATCGTTGACTAACCGCTGTTGCTGTCGTGCCACCCATGCCGCTACGAATTGTGCCTATATGAACCCTGTGTTGCGTTACGGGCCGCAGATGTCAAATCGCAAGCCACAACATGACCAAGAACAGCAAGGTGCGCGCGAACAGCTGTTTGCAGAGTGACCAGAAGTCGTCGGTTGTCATTTGGCCAATCGCAAGTGTTAAAAGTGGTAACGTCATTGAGTTTCACTGGTAATGTCACACATGTCAGAGGCAGGAATGGCGGGGACCAGAAAGGAGAAGCTATTGTTTTTTCAAAATTGTGGGGTGCCCGCTACCTGTAGCGCTGCAGCGTGTGGCATCGTTGGTCGCGACGGCATTCTGCACGCGTTGCGCTTGTTTACTTGAAATGTTTAGGAAAATATCGGAGGGGGTTTAGGGGCCCTTTAAAAAGTCTGGAGAGCCCAGATCACCAAAGCGTGGCAGCCGATAGCCTCCACAAATAAATTGTCCTGAATGCAGGTAGCAGTGTTCTCCAATGTCGAGGGTTTTCGGCCGCTCGGCTCGTGCCGTCAATCTGAAGTTTGCCCCTATTATAGGTACAGGCTTCTCTGCATCCACCTCTGAATAGAAAACGCTGTGGAATTCTATGGTTATGCCCAACCATAGTAGGCTACCTAGTGCTACACAGCGACCGCCTATCAGCTGAAAGTCGATGCCAATCCACCTCGCCAGCGAGTTTGTTCTTTGTCAGTGTTTTGCTGCGCTGCACGTACTTCCAATTTGATATCTGAGCTCCCGAAACCACGATGCGATTACGAGGCAAGCCGTAGTGGAGGGTCCTGGAAATGTCAGCCACCTGGTGTTCGAACATGCACTGACATCGCGCAGAAGAGCCCATGCCCGTAGCCTTTCAGCTCAACCGAAATGTGACCGCAGCAGCCGGAATCGAATCCACAACCTGCAAATCGGCAGCCGAGCACTACAACTCCACCCCAGCGGACCGTGCATACTTGAACTGAAGGATGGCGAGACGTGGCAACAGATCGCAGCGAATGCGATTTCATCCCTAGCTTTCACCACTCACGATATGCACTGACATATTTCAAACATTTCTATACAAAGACAGTGGTACACAGTGCATTTTAACAGTTTGATTGCCCCATTTCTTGTGAGACCACCTCCACACGTTCCCAGACACAATGCTACAATACGAGCATTGATATCTGCAGACAAAATAGCGAAACCCACCTTTGTAGATCAGCTTCTGCATTGCCGGCGGGACTCCTGAAAAACACAACAGATCCAGAACAAATGATTAGTGTGAATGTGACTGGAAAAAAAAACAAGAGAAATTTAATAGCAAGTGCCAGGAACTGAAGTGGAGGCCCTAGCCCGGTCGTGGATCAAAATTCACGATAACAGAGGAAGAACGCCCGCCCATGCTTTAAATGCTTCATTGATTACGCATCTGTTCACTGTTGTCATTCATCCCCATGGGGCAAATAAAAACAGTGAACGAAACTGTGAAAATGGTGCGAAGGGAACGCGAAGAGCTTACTTCAAGTCTTGCGAAAAAATCAAGGGGGACGCTGGCTTGATATTTTGTGGCATGATAAAATTGAACTTTAGAAAGTGCAAATCTTGCACTTTTCCCACAGCACAGTGCCACGTTGCCATCATTGTGAAGAAGACACATCAGAGCTCAAGATAGTCACACAACTGCACTTCTCCAATGAAAAAATAAAACCAACTCCTGTCGGAGTTCAGTCTCCTTGGCATTTAGCTCGGTTCTCTAAGCTCTCATTTTCCGAGCAGTTGCAGTCAGTCAGGACCGTGAAGTTTCACAACAGATAAGGATATAACATTTCCATTTGCTGCAATCGAGTCCTGAGACATCTGTGAGTGCGGCAAAGCTGTCGGCTTATCATACCGACTTTTATAGTCGCCTTTTTGTAAAAGTTATTAGGAAGATAAAATGTACAGGACATTACAAAAAACATTTTGTATGCCTATATTTATAATAAAAATAAATTGAAAGCTTTATAGCACAGAATTGCACTTGTGAATATTCTTATGCAAAATCTTAAACTTCTGTCTAGTTCATTAATTTTATATGAGATGACAATGAAAGTACATCAAGTATAGTAACTCAAAAACTACAACCGATGACTCAAGACCAGTTTCAGTTATGATATCTGCACAACTAATCACATATGCACGTCGAATTTCATCTCGTGATCTTTGAAAAACGAGAGTAGTTTTCACTGCCTTAAGTTGCAGCGCAGACCCGCTGTAGAATGTCCTCCTGCAGAGGGAAATAGCGTACATTTGTACCCTCGCTTCTCAATGACTGGCGTGCCATTGCAGATCATATTGATGTAGAGCAGGAATCTCTCACTGTAACCAAAATTGTTATTTGTCGTTAGTATACAAATAATATGACAGCTCATCACCTAATGCACGCAGCACTTCGTACTCTGTACTTTAGTTAAAAGTACTTGCAGACTGACACATAAAAATTTAGGGCACATACTTTTGTTCCAAGCAAATACAGTTCATGTCATATTGGCAACATCAAGGCACCATCACGCTAACATGAAGGCCAACACAGTTGGTGCTTTGCCCTTAAGGTACAGTACTGACAGGTTGAAACCAGTCTGTCAGAGTTAGTGTTATACTGGTGCCATTGCAACAAATGCTTACATCAGGGCCAACACTTGTCTTTTGCATGTCTTTTGCACACTAAGGAAAGATGCTACTCGAAAAACGCATTTTCTTCTTTTTCGAAAGAAACATTTCTTTACTTCCTTTCTCAAGCCCAGCTTCCCTCAAGTTTTTAAATGTACAACGCCTATGGTTGTACATGCCAAAACTACTAACACCACGATATCACAATAGTAGTGCTGGAGTACTGATTAATTGCTACTAGCAGCAGTTAGGTGAATTTTACCACATCATAATGCAGTCCCCACAGCTAGAATCAAACCAACGCCCTCGTACTCACTACTAGCATGATTCCACAGCCACAAAGCCATTACGTCCAGTACAAAAACTTTTTTTTAGTAATGTAACACTACAACATAAAAAAAAGGAAAGAAAAAGTTCAATGTTCTAATTGACCCTAAGCAATCAAGCCAGAAGCTCAATCATTTAGCACAGTCACGCACTTCCTAGCAAGTACAGATACTCTTTCAAGCAATGAGAGATATTGTGCTAACAGCTTACAAAAGTAACATTTTGAACATACACGTAGAACAACATTAAAGTTATCGACGAAAAAATCCTCTTTTTTGACTTTCTGATGTTTGACTCTTATCTTAAACTATACATTTTCATTCAATTTGTGTTCAAAGCTATGCATTCCCGTTCAACTCGTATTCGAAGCTATGCATTCCCGTTAAGATTCATATTCGAAGCTATGCATTCACGTTCGATTAGAAATTGAAGCTATGCATCCCTAATTGATTTGCATTTGAAAGTTTGATATTCTCCCACTCCTAAAAGGCCATGCTGTTGCGTTACGACTATCAGTCGGCGCAAGCCAGCGCCAGCTCACCGGTGAGCTTCTGTATTTCCTCCTTGAGCTTGGCCATCTTGGCAGAGAGCGACACCCGCACGTCGTACCGCCGCTTGTTGTACATCACCACCAGGGGCACGGCGTTTGCCTCCTCCTCAGCCTCCTTGCCATCCTCCTCTTGCGAAGACTGCTGCTTGGCGGCCACTGTGGTGTCGGCATCACCATCCTCTGAGGAGAACAATGAAGCGTTCACTTAGAGCACCTGCTCGTCACTGAGCGCCCCACAGGGCTGGCAATGCAGTCAAAGGTTCAATGAAGGCGCGAGTAACAGACGAAGAAGCAGTTGTGGTTCCCGACCAAGTCGAAGTGACAAAACAGGCAAAAACTTTTTGGAGCTCACATGGGTTATTTCAGAACTTGTACAAATTCTGTGCAAGTCTGTATCTATTTGGATACCAACAGATTCCACATGGGTAGAAATGAATATATAGGGGGTTTCCTGATCCATACAGGATATGCTTTGCATAGAATGCAATAGATTTCCCTTCTGTAAAAGTTATTTCTCTATAGGCAAACCCAGCCCACACAAAGTGTAATCTGTAGGATTCCATCCCAATGGACTTTTTATGGTTGAAGAACCGCATATGATATGGAACCTTACAGGTTCTAGATTATATGTGGGGGTTTCATGATGGCTACGGAATCATTAGGGGCAAAGCTCCTTAGGGTGTGGGGGTCTGCCCTTCTTTTGTTGTTGTGGTACGTAGCCACCGGTGGCACATACCTGCTCTAGAGCGGGTATGTGCCACAGGGGATGCGGGATGGTTGTACTTGGAGTGTTCACTAGATGGACGCATGGACGAATGTACAGACAGACTAGCAAACAACCAGACCCGCGGAGCAGGTATGTGCCACAGGGAATGCGAGATGGGTGTACTTGGAGTGTTCACTAGATGAACGGATGTGCATACATACGAACGGAAAAACGGAGGCATGAACAGACAGACAGACGAATGGACAAACAAATGGACGGTTGCACGAATGGACGAAAGCAAGAACAAACGGATGGACAGAAGCACAGAGGGGCTGAAGGACGCTTTGCCCCACTCATGATCATTCATTCCGTGGATATGCTGAGATTTTTTTTTTGCATGAAAAAGTACCAAATACCATGACAGTATGGGTAATTACAGCCCAGAGCAACAGCCCAACCGAAATGAAATTGATAATGGTCCACACAAAACAAATTCCTTGGGGATTAGACAATTTGTACCCTTGATGTACAGGTTCTTGTGTGAATAAAGTTTGATTGAGCTTGATCAAAGATGCGGTACAGATTCCAAAAAGTCCCCACATGTTTGATGCTGGAGGAGGCTGCCAGAAGCCAAGAATTAGCAGATTTTCGACCATTTTGACTCGCAAAAAACCTTGAATGTTTGATGGCATTTTATTTTTCCAGAAAAAAATGCTTAATTCGCTGGGGTGGGTTTATATACTTCGTTAAAACTGACACAATATCACTTTGTTATAAGCGCTGTTTCGCTATAAATGAGTTCGTTATAAATGGGCTACCCTGTACTCGAAGAAAAGAGATTGTTTATATCCATAGGCTAGGCCAATGAATTGGTGCTGCTAACATGAGTTTTCATGCAGATTGCAAATATTAAACCAGTTTTATAGTAATCTGCATAGTTTTCATCTTGTAGCATGACAATATGTAAACTAAAGCTCTTTTAGGACAGGTTTTTTCTGCCACTCAACTTTTATGATTATCAGCCATTAAAGTTCATACTGCTCCACATTAACTGCAGAATGCAAATAATTGACAAAAAAAGTGTGTATAAAACATTTCTATGAACAAGAAAAATTGTAGTTTGAGAAGTATTAAAAGGCACAGCCAACACCAATTCCTTACTTTAAGCTCATGAGAACCACATCAGTGATATAAGAAGCTGAAGAAGGTTACTGCACTCTTCGCACGTAGGCATGCGTGGGAAAAATTTCATTTCGATCTGGCCAACAGAAATAATACCAAAACATGTCAGAATTCCAAGACTTGCCCAAAATTGCATCTCAAAAAAATTGCATTTCAGACTTAGAAATAGAAGCTCATTTATGTGGCAAAGATATGCTTACTACACCAACACACTAGGGCTGGTGACAATTCTTTTTTCTACACGATCATCATTCATCACCATTTTGAGCCTGCTTTGCCCATTGCAGGATAAACATCATAGTAAGAGCTCAGTTCACCTGACTTGTCACCATGTGCTGGTATTGAAAAGGCAAGCCACAAAAATATTACCTTGCCCACTGAAGCAAATGCCACAGTCATATGCTCACAAACATTGCTAAGAGAATGCACACAAGCGTGCTCTCTTGACTGATACCACTTTTTTTTTTAGCTGCAGCTTTGCATTTACCATTGAAGCGCCACTGTCGGTGCATGTTATTTTGCATATTTTTCGACACCTGGAAGCCTGTAGCCAGCCGTTCCAACGGTAGTTTCATCTCCTAAATATTTCTTCCTCTGCGACTGATTGTTTTAAGCATAATGTGGACACTTGACGTCAATTTCTTTTGCTTGATGTCAACCAGAACATCTGCTAGCCATGTTCGTTCCCTGACCCATTCTGCGTCTTCCGATCTCTTCACGCTACTCCTATAGTTTTCGGTTTTAATGCACGCTGCGTAGTTCTGAGCTCTTTTTCCAACTGCTTCGTTACCCTCCATGTTTCAGTCCCATATGTTAGAACTGGCAATATGCAGTGAACATGTACTTTTTGCTTCAGCAACAGATTTCCTGTCATTTATGAATGATCGTAAACAAAGCTCACTCACCTTGGGGTGCGGATGCCCCGTTTTGACTGTTCTCCTCGCAGCTTGTCTTCGGGATTTTGGCTTCCGTCTCCCCGCTTTCCCTGTCCACTGTCTGTTGCTGGGCGCTGCTTCCGTTGCTACTGTTGTTGTTACGTTGACCAGCCATGGCAGCTGCACGAGTGCAAGCACACATTTAAAGGGGCCATGACACCCAACTTTCGATCATAATCTGTGTTAAATGGATTAATCCTTGGTCTTTCACAAACAAGCTGGCGAAATTTTGACGAATTCGGTCGGTCGCCTAGTTTATAACTGCCTGAGAGTCAGGCTTCTCGGTGCACTCGCAAGCAGTGGTGTAACAAGTGACTAGTTTCGCGAGCCCCTGTATTCCAGAGAACGATGTTGGTCGGTCAGCGGTTAGCTGCGCGTGAAATTGAGATAACTTGGCGGCCTAAAGCTTGGCACCGAAATGGAACGATTTGCAGCAGTTAAAATTCATTAAAAGACCACAGCTCTGCTCCTTCCAGCTCATGACGCCACACGCACCGTGGCAAAATGACGCTCGCCGACGGTGGGTGGAGTTTATGGCCGGCTACTTTTTTTACTCGTTTTGCACTGAAATGTTCTTTTACGGTGCACTTTCCATATCGTTATAGCCATAGTAGACCCTCTGCTTTTAGTTTTTGCTAAAAACCACGAACACTAGGGTGACAGTGTCACGGTCACTTTAAACTGACGAAAGAACATACGAAACTTGACTAGAAATGTAATGCTTCAGTGCTTGCGCAACGTTTGCCGATGGCTCACTTATGAATTGCCTAAAACGTGGCACATCACTTTTAATGCATTCATTTGAATGCTCGCACACTGTGCGTACGCATGTGACGTGCACTCCAAGACAAACGAACTTATAGTAGATAGATGTGTGGGGTTTAACGTCCTAAAACCACCATATGATTATGAAAGACGCCGTAGTGGAGAGCTCCGGAAATTTCGACCACCTGGGGTTCTTTAACGTGCACCCAAATCTGAGCACACGGGCCTACACCATTTCCGCCTCCATCGGAAATGCAGCCGCCGCAGCCGGGTTTCGAACCCGCGACCTGCGGGTTAGCAGCCGAGTACCATAGCCACTAGACCACCACGGCGGGGAAACGAACTTATAGTGTCTTGCAGCCAAACAACAATAATCACCACCTATCTCGCATGCTTTCCTCGCACTATCACCGCACGACCGGCACTTCACGGTCACGAACGGCATGCAGTTATCAGCATGACATGATATTCTGATAGGAAAGTGGCAAACGTGCAGTTTTCAACACTCAAAATGCAAGCAAGCCAGATGACGACTATTCGCTGTATGCTCCAAACACTCCCATATACCTCAAGTGTATTTACTTTTTTGCCATGTAATTATGCTCAGATGGCATCTTATGACATCAGCATCCCGTAACCTTCCCTAGACGCTGTGGCCAACCAGTTTTGAAAACTTGGTGCGTTTTGTCAGAAAAATAAACATATATTTCATTGATATTTTGGCTGCCCTCCCAGTTACAGTTAACCTCATGAGCACAGTACCAGCCAAAAGCTTGAGGAGCAGAGTATTAAATAAACTGAATTTCCCAGCAGCTCCTTAATGTATTCATTACATACATATCAACACTATGTGGTTTACCTGTACAACCTCAAGCATTCAAAAATTTGAATACCACGATGTGTGCCCAGAGTAGGGAAATATTTTTCATTTCAGGGACGCCGCAGTCAATAAATATTGTCTGCAAACTGCAGAGCACAGCGTTAGCTATTGAAGCGGCCTTAGCAAACTGAAAGTCACCGAAAAATTCAGAAGCTGCGCGTACAACAACCTTGAGCAAGCACTTTAAAAAAACGTTATCCAACTACAAACAAACAATCTGCCCTGTCACGTTTACAGCTCATCTGATAGCATCTAGAGCTCTCTCCCAGCCGTTTCTTTTTCATAAAGTTCAATGAATTAAAAAAAGAAGAAGAAAGATTGTTTTAAACATGTGTTAGCTCCCCTACAGCATCATTCAAATTGAAGACCGCAAAGCTCAGCTGATTAATAATTTTCACATGACCTTATCTAAAGGTCAGTGCATAAAACGTGGCTGGAAACGATCTAGGTTAACTGAAAATACAGATGAAAGATCAGCGACCTGACACGCCAGTAATGAGAATGTTAACCCCTTAAATAAAGCTCAAACTAGGTGACATATTCGCATCACTGCAAACCGTTTGTGAAAGACAAACCACAATATGCCCTATACATAATGTCACAGATGTTACAGCACACACAAGTTTTTCATCTAGATTGAAACATTGCGTACTTTCTACAAGAGGAAGTATAACAGACAATTCAAACTGCAACTAACATTGTTATTAACTATAACCTTTAGTATATGTATACATGAATTGATGAATGGACAGCTGCATATGCACTTCTCAATGGACACACACGACCTCAAGAATGCTATTCTAACAATCCTTACAAAGGGGCTTGAAACAAGCTGCATAATATTTCAAAGCTGAAAAACGTACAAATTCCACATAGAATCTCCCTAATGAGTGTAATTCACAGAGCATAATAATAAAAAGCTACACAGAACCACAATGGATTTCATTCAACAGGATCAAAACTAGTACTTCTCTCAGAGATGGAAGCATGTGCCTTTTAATTAACATTTTGGTAGTGAAACGATTACAACAATAATGTGGTTCACTATGTCACTAGTATGTGAATTAGTAAAACATTGACAACCAATGTCAGTATGTGCAAAAAAAGGGGAAAAGAAGGAAATGTGACACTGGTGAGAAATTAAGAGCAAAAGTTCAGCACAAAACACAGGTGCTATAGTCGCACTTTGAAATTTCATAATGGTGGAATCCTAGGCCAATCAGAATCAACCTCTTTAGGCCTATCAGAGTCAACCAATGGCAGATCTGCTTAACTTGACACTTTCACTTGCATAATTAATATGATTTATTTGTAGTTTTTTTTTTTTCAGTAATGCTAGGTAAAACCAAAAAATAAGTTAATAGGCAGCAAGTGGCACATTATTTTTAATCTGTGATCATGCCATTACCATCTAAACCTGACTAACACCTAGTAGCAGTGGTATAAATGATAGAAGGGTGGTTTTACCCCCCCCCCCCCTGTGTTCCAACTAGATGGGGGGCACCCGTTGTAAGTGGTCCCCTTTGGAGTTCACCTTTCATACATGCTAAAGTGATATGACAGTTAACTATATCCCACTCTCGTTAAAATCGAGCCTAAAATCTGAGGCCCTTCCACTGAGTAGAAATTTCGTAAAATTTGAGTGAAAGGTGCTTTTCTTTTCAAAAGGCACCGTACAGCTTGCTTTCTGTAATGCTGTGTTTCTTGAGACGTGCAACAACTGCTTATTCTGCTGGGATCTTAAGCGCACAGTAAATAAAGATTCCCCAGTCGTCTACAGTTATTTATGCAGACAATTAGCCATTGATATTGAAGAATGAATGAATTTGCTTGAATATAATTGTTATTTTAAAAATCACTGGTGAACATAACTGTGATTTAGAAGAAAAATTCCAGAGGCAAATTGTGGGAGACTAATGGTTACACACAATGGGAAATAATACCCGTGCCACACGGGCATAGAAAATGACATTTGGTGGCGAAGGCCTTCAGTTCCCGAATGACATTTGTTTCGCCGGCGCTGCTACACGTCCAAAGCGAATGACATTTGACTTGATGATGTCGATCACAGCACCTTCCAAGTGAGCATTGAGTGAATAGCAACAAAAAAATTAAGAAGCACTTACAAGCTTCATACACATCAGATAATCATTAAATGTAGAAATAAGCGTATTACGCTTTCCTAAGTTTTAGTTTCTTGCTTTGTTTTACAACGTTGCAGCCGACCGTAGCAACCTAAGCCAACACTAGTCAGATCCACAGCGTAAATAGAAAATGGCGCCTGTCACATCTCTCAGAAGAAGATGTTCGCAGTGTTCGAAGAAGATGTTTGATGCTTTGCACGGAAACACACAAGTGTTTCCGTGCAAAGCATCGTGCTCAATAGCGAATAATTTTGGAGCAGTGACGAGTTATTATGCGCCAGCTTCAGGACATTGAACTTCAATTAATATCAAACCATTTCAACCTGAGTCACAAAGAAAGTCACGAGAAAATGAACTCGATGGCGATGAAAATACCAGTGTTGCATGCTTGTTTGCCAAAGTTTCGCTAAACTTGACACGCGTTTCATTATCAATACTTTATTTTCTTTGTATAACGTTGAAAGCACCTTTTTAAGACTTTAGTGCAAATAAAAGACGGGAAATTTCATTTTTAGCTCAATATGATTTGTTTTATATACTTTCAGGTAAATCGCACTTCGCGAGCTGTGTCGTTGAGAGTAGGCATTTCTCAGTCAACTGAGTTCTGGCGAAGGCATTTGGTGGCGAATGGCATTCGGATGAATGCCATTTTGTTCGCCCGTGTGGCACCGCACGAATGGCAATAAATCTGAAGGCATTCGGGGGTAAATGCCATTTTTTCTGCCAGTGTAGCACGGGTATAAAGCTCAAGTTAACTAATGGTTACACACATGGCAAAAGCAAAAATGTGCTAGCAATTTGATGTGATAGTTAAACTGAATAAGATATAAATATGCTGGAACTGATACCTACAGGTTGACCTCGCCTGTCTTTGCTTTCTCTTTATTCGAAAACACGATTTCAATTATATAATCAAAAACGAAACCTACAATTACGAAAAACAAAATGGCCGCCACGGCATCAAGATGTGGGTGCCCCCTGAGATTTTTTTTTTCCCCCTAGATCGACAGCGGACAAGCAATCACAAAATTGGCAAGGTCTAACCTCCAGAAAACCGCGATATGACTACAACAGACGCCGTAGTGGAGACTAAAAAGAAATTCTATCCACCTTAGATATTTGACGTGCACCTAAATCTAAGTACACGATACTCGAGAATTTTCGCCTCCATCGAACACGCGGTCGCCGCGACTGGGATTCGATCCCGCGACCTGCAGGCCAGCCACTATAGACCACCGCTCAGTTCAAGAAAGCCGTGAAAACAGACCTCGTGTAGCCGTGATGCAATATAATAAAAACGACAATAACAGTAGTCCCAGTCCAAGTGACGTAACCTACGTTTTAGGCACGTGACCAATCGAGAGAAACACGTGCACGACCAGCGAGCACGTGTCGTATGTGCTTCTGCGTTTGTTGTTTCACCCACGTGCACTGCTTCGTAACGTAGTTCCGTGCAGCGCACGTGCGCGCCCAACGAAGCTACAAACAAGCCCGAAATCCAATAAGCGTCCGCCTCTGAGCATAAACGGATACGACGATTGCGACTGCACGGAACTGTTCGTTCGTTCGTTCAGTAGCGAAATAAAAAAAAGGGGGGGGGGGGGGGGAATAGACCACGCCATTTCATTGCAAGGCACGCTTTGCGCACAATAGACAAGTACACATCGCAATAAAAAAAAACACTAATGTACGCACTGATGCACGCTAGTAAACGAGAACTACACAACGTGATAATGGACTCTCTTTGAATTTCGAAGAACAAATGACCAACGCAGCCATGCTAGGAAGATAAACTCCGTAATTGCATTGACTAATCTTGCATACGACTTACAAGAAAACGGCACGCGCCGGACACAACAGCAGCTCAGACAAGCGTTCGTATTTCAAAGGTGTCATTCGCCAGCAGCTGATAACGAGGCGCGCGTCGTTAACGCTTTCCGATATTTACACGCGTATTCAACGTTCGCCAGTCACGGAAAATGTATTTCGAGCGTTCTCTAACGTTGCTGGCTCGGTGAAGAAATCTGTTTTTTTTAAAGTGAGGCACGTTTTTGCGCAATCCAGCGAGGCAAGCTTGCTCCCAATTCGTAAAATGACTTGCGCTTTTTTTTTTTCGGGCACACCAACAGTCGTGAAAAAGAGACGAGCATTCAAAATTACTTGCTCAAGCTGCCTAAAGGGCAGAGGATAACTTGAAACGCACTTAAAGAAAAACAAAAGAACACACACTGCAATCTGTAAACACACGGACGCCTTATGACCACGCGATTTTTTGTTTTTTTACTTCGCGCTTCTTCCAAACAAAAGCACACCGAGGAAATCGTAGAGTGTTTCAAGAAATTGCGCTAACGATTCTTTTGTCGACTAGGCAATTAGAGAAACGGGCCGGCGCAGATAAAAGAGGGCACGAAATCCTGGCGCGCGGCGTACAGTCAGCGCTTTCCCCGGGAAACAGCTGAGCGCCTCTGTGAACTATTACTGGAGGTTCACGATACGCTCATGACGCGTGGACGGCGCTTGGTTCAGCGCTTAGCGGACGACCGCGAGAGCGAGAACTTACGACTAGCAGAACCGCGAGGCTTATCGAAAGGGTTTTCCACTCGGGGCTCGGCTACGAGGTCACCAGCGAACATTCGAATGGCAACAGCAACTCACTTTCGCCGTCAGATGTGTTGTTTTCGGAAGCCATGGTAGATGTACGGCTGCGGAGCTGCGCTGCTCTAAAAATGCAAAATTTTCTACGTTTCTAAAAACTATGTACACGTAGTATATAAACTATAACATTTATTTCCGTTTATAAAAAATTGTTGTTTTTAAAATGATTGAAACTTCTTATTTATTTTTCTGCGGTCCTGCATGTTTGGTCTGCTGCCGCTTGCGGCACGTCTGTGCTCGCCCCCGTCTCATCTGTCAGATGCTTGCGTAAACGTAGCAGGTAGTAACCTACGTCGCCGACTTTCTTCAGTTAGCCGCTCAGGCTGAGCCTGAGTCGTGATCGTACTAGAGTTCGTTGCAGCGTCTACCGTGAGCGATGGCGTACTGCATGTGGAACGGTGCCGAAAAGTACCGAGACACTTTCGTCTCAGGTAAGCAACGTTTTCTTTACTTTCTTTCCCAAACTCTCCGTGCACCACGAGCGATCAGTAGCCTTGGAAATCGCAGCGGTTGCTATCGCGACGCCTCATTTTCTTTTGCGCCAGATTTGCCGCGCTGAGGTCAGACGTGTCTCCTGGCAGGCACCGACGGCTTTCTCTGGCGACAAGAAAAGTTGCGAGACTGATCGGCTCTACCGTGTAATTGGTGCGCTTGTTTAATACTATTCTGGTTGGCACCAACGCGGAACGCAAGCTCGCAAAAGCGACAGCGTCGTCGTTTCCTGCTGTCCTTCGACAATCGCGCGACGAATCTAGGCGGAAAAGCGTGCGCCGACTTCCCGTACTGGTGACGTTCCTTCTTTTTTTTTATGCATGTTTATACAGTTATTTGTTGTTGTTTTTTTTTTGCCCAGCGCGCGTGCGTGAAGCATTCGGTGGAATTCATGCGAGGGTTTGACGGAATCCTCCTTGCTCGAAAAGAGCTCGCATAATTAGTGACAGCTGCTTATTTAACACCGATCATGCACTTATAAAGAATCGCTAAGAAATTTTTAAAAAAAATAACAGAGTATCTGCGCGTTTCGATGCAAATGTCGTCGAAAGGCGAGTCTTCTGTCGGCCTTCTTTTGTGAGCGCAGTCTAAAAACATTAGGGTCTTTATAATTATGTAGTTTCTAATAAAGCAACACATCACCTAATACTTACCTATTGATGGGGCGCCTCAGATATGTGCGTAGTATTTGCTTTTTGATCGACTATGTACACAAGTATGAATGCAGCCACCAGTTCAAGATGGCAGGACGTTGAGCAAGTGCTTAAACTTCACTTGGGCCGAGTGGCTGAATCGTTATCTTTGACTGACAGACCAAAATTTTTTGCGTTAAGTAGTCTACGATAGTCATTGAAAATCACTTTCTAGAGAATCACAAGGGCACTTCGGCTTTCACACATAGAAACATCATTGTCACCATCTCCCGTGTTTTTCTTTCGCCCTCCTTGGATTTTCCACCCGGGTTCGCTTTTATTCATCATGCCCTAATGTCGCACACAGTAATAACACCTAACGAGTAGTCATACTGTCGTTTTCAAATGTCTACACTGAGTACGATCTTTCGATCGCATAAGAGCTCGTCAGCATTGCGTGCACCGGCAAGCAATTTCGCATGCAGCTACATCGCAAGGCGCACGCCTGAATGATCTGAATGCCTTGTCCCAATCAACCAGAACGGGTTCTACATCGGTGATTTGGCCATTAATGATTACATCGAAAGTGGAGATTCCGACATTTTACTGTTTGTTAACAGTCCTGCTAAGTTAGCGGTAATGTTGAAAAACATGACTTGCTGTTAGGCGTTCTTAACTCTATTCTCTTTCATATTGCTCCAAGATGCACAGTACAACCTAATGAAACCAACAGATAAAACAAACAACCAGTGTTCTCCTTGATAAAGTATCAGTATGTCGCATCAGTATGTTTTTGTTCTCTTTATCTATTGACATTATTAGTTTGCATGCATCTTAACTCTTTCATTGTTGCACGAAAATGATTATTTATCATATTTCTAGGTAGCATTGTTTGTGCCTGTTTGAAAAGTACTCCAGCATGCATTGCAGCATACCAATGTTCGCGCAATCAAATGTTCTTTGCCAAAAATATATGTTGTAGAGCAATAAAAATATTTTGGAATGAATAAAAATGTTCAAATGTGCAATTTTTGGTTGTCAAGTACTAAACAGTACAATAAAAAGCAATATATATGCAAAAATATTGAAAACAGAAAGTTAAGAATATTCTTTTCGAAGATAAATGACCCAGGAACATTATAGAATATATTAAATTTTCTACAAAATGTTTCTATTCACATAGACAAAGAAAATTGGAACCAATGTGCTTCGTTCTTGCTCGTGCCATGCGGTGAAGCATTGCTTGGTTTTTCGTGAGGCACGAGTGAACTCATACACTGTTCTCAGTAAACCATTGTTGTTATTATTTGCATTTAGAGCCTGCAGGTATTTTAATATAGATGGATACCCGTGATGCGAATAATCCATCTATAAAATGAGATCTCGAAATAACTTTGCTATTTCGTCTAGTGTCACCTCTTTCCAGCCACCTCACTCTGAATAGGTTCGCGTTCCAGTGTATGCATCGGAGCATATGTTTTTGCACATTGCATTAAAGAGAAGAACAGTATCGCCAGCAGTTTTAAAACGCTTTGCCCTGCTCCGTAGTCGGGGCCAAGATGTGCTCCGGTGATTTTCATGTCGTGAAGGAGAAACTCTGCAGCCAGCACACCGCGCCCCAGCGACATGAGGACCTCACACATCACCAGAGCATCTATAAGATTGTGAACAAAGGTCAGCTGCTATGCACTTGCAACGGAAGAGAGAACTTGAGGCCGTAACCGAAATAAACCCATGAACTGCTTTGCATGTCTGAGGCTGACAAAAACACCGTCGCCATAAAACTTAAAGCTGAGGTATTGTCATCCTCGGACTCTAAGGTTGACCTCATTTAATTCAGGTGCAAGATAGTTTCGAGTGACACGGGATTTTTAGAGCACACCCATACGCACGTGATGTTGCCGTAGGAACGAGTACGGACACTACATGTGGCCCTGTCTCATATAATGATACAAGCAAAGCCTGCTGCAGACTGGCTGTGAGGGCCACCTCTACTTCTTATACCTGTGTGATATACTTTCTTAAATACTATTTTGATTAATAAAATTTCTCTGATTCCTAGCAACAGCTCCCTATTGAATAGCTGGCATAACTTTCTGGTAATTATTACTCCTCCTGTCATACGGCAAAGCTGACACCTGAATTTGATATTTGACTTGCAAACATTCTTTTGAATACAGAACCTTGATGGTTACTGTTGCATAACCATGAGGGGCCCGCACTTCTGTCAAGTTCGCCATTCAAGTGCACTTTCTCTACAACACAGGCACATTGATTCGTGCAAAAATTTTTCGAAAATCACCATGCTGCCAAAATCGTCAATTTCAAATTCATTCTGAAAGTTGGGTGGCTGGAGTAACTACTAGAAAGAGCTGGGTACACGAGAAACAAGTTCAACAAGTCAAAATAGATGATCCAGAATGTCAATCACCGGTGATCGATTTGAATAGGCGTGGTAACCAAACACTTTTGGAGCATGCTCAGAAAACGCTGCTGATCGGTTGTCGAGGCTATCGAGAGCACGCGAGCCAAATATTGTAGTGCAGGGCCTGGAATTCGCAATAAATTATCAAAGTCAGCTAAAGATTGCTTTCTCTTCTCTCGACAAATGACAGAAGCAGCTCAAAAGTCACTCGTAGAAGGCCATCCATCAGCCGTTGGCTGATTTGAACATGGCACACTCGGTCGTTACAGGGATTTTCGCAGGAAGCCGCAACTTCTCCATGCGTACTCGCGCGATCACACTGAAAAAGCCGCGTATTCGAAGAAAAAGAAAGTGCTCAAGGTCACGAGACTCGCGTTAGGCGTTTTTTTCGCCCATGCCACTCCTCTCTGCTTAGGAGGGCCGCCCGTCCCCAGGAATCTTTTTCGGGGAGGGCATCCCCTTAAAATGGTCACATTCCGCTCTCCATGCCATGGTGAAAAGACATTTGGGGGGGGGGGGGGGGGGGTCGATGTGCCACTCCCTGGCTATGTCTCTGCTGCTTAGCCTGCAACGCTTTTGCTGAGATGAGAGAATGTGATTGCATCGTGCAACAAATCTTTATAACTCCGCTTGTACTGGACGAATGTTTGAAATTATAGCGGCATTAAACTTGCGAAGCATTAAGCTCTTGCAGTGAATCCATTCAGTGTTTACTTTACAAGGTCTTCCAGGGCCCTTTTAAGTGCTGTTTGCTAATAATAATTTTGAACTTATTAACAATTAGCTATGTCAATTCTATTATGTCCTGACAACTGATCCGCAGATGTATTGTGCGTAACCTATACTCAAAGGAAAAGAAAATGTACTTTTCCTAGTCCCACATCACCAGTAGTTGTTTGAACAAGGTTTGGTTGTCTCATCGTGCAACCTTGCCAACGCGGACGTTTTCTCTAAATGTGTACATCTATTCAAGCAAGTAAATTTACTTTGTAAAGTCGTTGCTCAAACACCCCTCTTTTTTTATCACACTTTCCTCAAATCCTTGTCTGGCAATTCCACTTCCATGGTGAAATAAATGGTCTCCTATGCTGCATCTGTCTATAAATGGTGGGTTTTCAAAAGAATCCCGATCAATATCTCACATGACCTAACCGAAACGTGCACTGCCTTACCTTTTCGGTGGCATGACGTGGAAAAGGAGTTGCTTGCACAAACACATTTCGGCGTCCTGCGAACAATCGGTGGACACGTAGGCAAGGCCGCCTGTCGTAGGCCTCGGCATTAGCAAATGTAAAATTATGTAGCAGGAAACATTCTGCCGCATGCAAAGAAGGGATGTAGGCATGGAACCACCCGCTTTCTAAAAAAAAAAAGACTTAAATCTGTTCATGCTACCAAAGTACTTGTTCTTAAAGATCTCCTATTTCATTAACGTTATGATGAAAACTTAATTACAAAGGAGATGGAAGCTGATGCCAGTCTATTCTGTTTTCTTTTATAGTGCCACAAGGCAGCAATATGATTGGGGCAGTCCCCACATACGTCCACGATGCCATAGAGCGAGCCAACGCAGCACGACAGATTGTCCGACAGTCATGCCCAAGAACGACTCATACTTTCTCAAGCCTCTCGGAAAGATCAATATAATCGTCACCACCGTGAAGTTTCGTATGCACCAGGTTCTCTAGTACTTTTGTGGACTCCATGCCGTCACATCGGCCTCTCGGAAAAGCTTTTATTTTGCTATGACGGACCATACAAAGTCCTACGCAAGATCACCAACCTCACTTACGAGATACAGCGAGTCGTCGATAAAGCGCACTCAATGCCACCACCAGCTACTGTTGTGCACGTCATAAAGTTGAAGCCTTATGTGTCACCCAACACTCCCCTTTCGTGACAAGCGCCGAGTCGGCGCTTTTTAACGCCGCGGGGTAGTGCCACAAGGCAGTAATGGGATTGAGGCATAAAGCGGTAGAGGGTCTCTGCCTGGAAGAAAAGACTATGAGGTGGATAAAGACTGGTCTCAGCCCGTCAGTGTGCCAGGCATTGCCGTCGCTTGTAAACATCATAATTATCTGCAAATATACGTTTCCTTGTAAGATTATTGTCGCAGAAATTATTTACAAAATTGTTAGTGTAGCAGTACTACCAAATTAAATTAAGAGATTAAACTGACTACCAATGTTCCCGTCTTAAGTCGCAGCATGTCACACTACTTGCACAAAGAACTCCCAACTCCTGCATATCACTGTGATATTACATACGTAAATTTGTTCATGTCTATGGCCTCATAGCATTTCTCAAAATCTTATCTTCAGTCTTGCTTGCTGCGTTGTGAAAAGTCTAGCGTCCAGGCCATAGACACATAAAATACATGCCCATAGCTCGGACTTTTGGCATATCCATGCCCGTGTGCCGCAACAAAAAGTACAGAAAAGACAAGAAAAGATGCCGCTGCACAATATATAGCCTCCTGGCTCTGATCCCGCTGGTAGCTGACCTAACCTCCTCTTGACCGTCGTTTCAACTTCACCTTCTGTCATGAATGCGAGGGAAGATGACAATTCATTCACAGGAAAACTATGTGTAAAAGGACTTCCAAGAGCTGGACATACCTGCGCAGGTGGTAACAGGAGTGAGGACCAACGCAGACTTCAAAACAATTGCACTATGACATGCCTGAGGCAAGACTTCTACTCCAGGGCTACTGTTAGATGATCTTTGCAATACTGTTGGCAAATTATTACGACGCAACCTGAGCATGTCCACTGTAACTTGTACGTTACTTTGTAAGTTACCAGAAAACGAAAAATTCTGACGAGCATTCTGCATGCTTTAACAACTTCACACTATTCGCAGGTACCTATGTCTGCTCCCAGTGTGGCTATGAACTGTTTTCGAGTCGGACCAAGTTTTCCCATCATTCCCCCTGGCCCTCTTTCACTGACACGATACACGAGGACAGCGTCATCAAGAAACCCGAGTTTGGCCGGTCTACTGCACTCAAGGTTGGCACTTGTCTCTAAAATTGTCTTCCTGTGTTCTACGTCTTTTTGTTTTCTTTGAGTTGTGAATGTTTACATGCTGAAATCACAATCTTATTGCGTATTATGCAACTGCAGATTCTTTTGACCACTGTGGCTCAGACTAAATACCCAATCAATACGGAAGTATTACTCTCATTAAAATGCAGCTGCTGCGGCCTGTGGGGCGATTCTATTATGATTTTACTACTTTATACTTTTCACAACCATTGTTCATTTACCATTGGTCAAGATTTCTGGGCCACGCCTTTTAACCAATGGCAAGAAAAGGCACAGAAAATGTCATAGAATAGCACAGTGTTTCCAGCAGTGCATTTAAGAACTTGTATTGACAGGGGCATAGCCAGGACTTTTATTTATAGGGGGGGGGGGGTGCAATGACCTTTTTGTACGTATGTGTATTATGTGAGTTGTATGTGCGCATGTTTATTACACTTGCAAACTAAAAATTTGGGGAGGGGTTAAATTCTATTACTTCCTTGTCTCTATGCCAATGCCTACTGAAGCAGTGAGAATTGTTTAGTACATGCTTGGGAAAGCGTTTCTGATCTGCACGTACAACTGTAAGTGCAATGTGTCATCGTGTCATACTTCATGAGCTTTCAAAACTATAGGATGTAACCTTGAGAGTGCCACATAGAGTGTATTTCTCCCCAACCACTCCATCTGGCTGTGAGTGTTCTCAATAGCTTTGAAAAAAGCAGGTGTGCTACGGAGCAAAGTGAAGTAGCCCAGCATTGAGGCGTTGCTACCTTAAGTGGCGCAACATTGAAAGCGATAAACAAACCTAGAGATAAGTTGTGTGTCTAGGCTACGACATTGGCACGTGTTGGTGGCTGGGAGGGGGAGGTGCTAGATAATGGCTCGATCCGTTTCTGCTCAAGGCACGACACGGGTATTATCAGCTCTTTTGTGAAATGCCGTCAGTGCGAACAGAACAGGGCTTTCTTTCATTGTTATGACTGCACAAGACACAGTCAGCGAGCAGGTGGGGTGTCAGTTTTGCACACATTTGCGTATAACAGGGCACGTTACACTTATCACTGTACGTGGCAACAACGAGGAAGGCGGCCAATGCTTCCTACACATGTGCGTAGAACAAGGCTCGCTATGTTGTTATCACTGAACGAGGCACCTGGCAAACAGGAAGTCCAAGTTTTGCATGTGTGTGTATGCCATTCAGAACTGGGTGTGACTGGAAGTGAAGATGGATGCAGCATGTTCGCGAGGCAGGCTCCTAATCAGAATTACTTTATGGCAGTTTAAAATAAAGACAAAAGAGGAATGTGGTCATGTCTTTCAGCTCTTCAATAAGGACTCCACATGTTTCAACAAAAACAGCATGAAAATGAGATTGTGTTTAGTTGCACAGTGCATCGCAAGCAATCTTTAAGGGACACAGAAGTGAAGAAATAACTCAGTTAGACTAATAAATTATACTTTGATAACACTAGTAGATGTAGGCCCTAGTAGATGCCGTCATAATCTACGTTCTCACGGCGACTGGCGTGAGAACTTCAAGGTGGTGCCTCCACCATCTTTTTCGTCTGTTTTCCCGCCTCCCAAGCCGGTTCTCGTAGCGAGCACCGTGCTTTTGGTATCGTGAGAGGGTAATGTACAAACATGAAGAAATTCGTTTCAGTTGTTCAAGCCTGGAGAAACTTCGCCACTTGCAAACAGAAACTATCGTGATCATGAACTGGCGTCCGCTTTCTTCGTCCTCCTCTTCAAGTTCTTCGTAGTTACCAGAACACGTGTGCTGATTTGTACTAACATGCTCTCTCTTCGTCCTCTTCACACCCAGATTGCGAATGCCGATTTTTTGCAACGTTGGATGCAGTAACTGTGATGGGTAAGAGAACGAGTAAAAAAAGAGCGAAAATGATTTCTTGACGAGGCGGTATTCACACTCGTGCACCCACGATCCGAAGGTGAGCATCGTCACTGCTCGGCTATCCAGGCATGCTAGCAGGAAAGGGGGCGGGGGGGCAAGTACTATGGTTGTAAGGAGAGACGTGACAGTGAGGAGGAAAAGTAGACAGGGGGAGAGTGAAGTGTAGCATAGAAAGAGAAAGAAGTGTAAACAAAAAACGTAAGAAAAAGAGTTAAATAAAGAAAGAGCAAAAAAGCAAGGTGAAACAGTGCTCCGCATTCATCGGGCTTGGCGCCACTAGTTTAAAGTTGCCATAACTTTTTCTTATCTTCAAATGCCCCTTAATTGACTAATTACACTGCTTGCATGCGCATCTTCATACCAACCAGCCGACCTAGCATACTGACCCCATGTTTCGTAGTTCCTCCTCACGTGCACCCGGGGAAATGTTCCCATTTCACACCCTCGCAGGTGTACTGCGGAAAGTGCAAGCAAGGCCTGGGCCACGAGTTCCTAGGGGACGGCCCCAACGGCAAGTCGCGCTTCTGAATCTTCTCGGAGTCGCTGCGGCTCGTCCCCAGCGACCAAGGTGACTGCAGCAACGGGTCGGCCTAAGCCGGCCCCCTCCCCCAGTCGGTCCTCGGATCGGCGGAGCATGTGCCTTCCTTTTTCGAGCGCGCTCACCACTGCCATCGGTGCCGTTTCATTCTAGTCTTTGTATTCACCGGCTTGAAGCTGCCATCGGAGATTCTGTCACTTCAATGCTGCGAGATTTCAGTCCTAGTTTTTGAGAATTAGTTGTGAGACATTGGACAAAAGTCGTTGCACTTTTCTAGAACTCTGGAACAGTGCGTTCTATCACGTTATGGCACCAGATATACTAATAATGAGTTGTTTGAGATGGCCCATGCTTAAGTATTTATGCTTAGCTGCCATGCATGCTATAATATGGGCTTTTTAAAACGAGGTGCAATTGGCAAATGCCATCAGTGCAGATTGGAGCACACCATTCCACTGTTCTAGACGATTGAGTTGACCTTAGTACTATATGCACAAGCACAGCGGGAATAGGCATCATCTCACCAGCAAATGTGCAAAAAAAGGCAGAAAATTTGTTGCGTGGCAGGAAGTCGTGCTTTCAGCTGTAGTTGTCCACCTAACCTTTTAAGATGTGTCCGCAAGCTTCGAAGTAGCAAAAGCAGGATAGTGAACGTCAGTGCAAGTTTATTAAATGTAGGAAAAACTTGACAATGCGTAATACTCTTGGGAGTTTTGAAGAGTATGAAATTATTCTCGGAACAACCACAGTTTGAGTACTCAGTGGGAATTCATCATAAATGTAAGGTGCGCTATTGAAAACGCAAGACAACTCAAATGCTTGTGTTGCAATGTCCTCTTCCCTCACATTTGTGTTTACGTGCCTCACTTTCATTGCACAATTAAAATGTTTCTCTTCTTTTAAGAGAAAGCAACAGTAAGCCTTCGTTTACAAAACAAATTGCATTGTGCGCATACACAGATGCTGATGATTCAGAGCTGTCATCCTGAAGATTTCTCTGACATTGACACGTAACACGTGTTGCGAACTGCAATTCGAACCATAATGGTATATTTAATGAGGAGAATCTTGAAATTATGCTTGTTGTCAAAATCTGTACTTGGTTTACTTAGGTTCCATACTATGCAAAGTGCAAAATAGGATTAGGGTACATAATATATTTATTTATTTATTTATTGTATCTTGTCAAAATGTCATGACTGTGATGCATTTTTCTGTAGTCACTTGTACAGAAAAGTTTTGCTTTGGAAAGTGAATGTTTCTTCCTGTCTGACATTAGCATGGATCACTGCTCCTAGAATGATGCCTTTATTATGTGCAGTGCATGCACTGCAAGCCAGCAGTACTGTTTGGCAGCAAAATGTTCAGGGTTCTTGCAATGGTGTCGACAAATGCTATGTGGGCGCTGTACGTAAGGGTGCAGCTTATCTTTTCACACTCTTTAACCAAGCGGTGCAAACCTGTAAGTGAGAAAGCATTTGAACTGAACAATTTTCAATTGGCTTTGCATGGTTTTTTAAATACCGTTGATTGCACCACCAAATGGGTTCCACATGTTTGGTGTAAGCCGTAATAACAAGAAAAACATGTTTGTGCTGAAATTTTAAAAAACACTTGGCAATTTCACATTCCATCTTTTGGAGTTTATGAAGATGCTTGCTTAGTAATTTCATGTACTTTTCTTACATTTTGTGCGCATGCCTATAGACAGTTTGTATCAACCCTTTCTGCATTAGCCTCGAACCAATTACAACTGCCAACAAATGTTGGGGCTCAAAGTAAGTGCTAACTACATTTTATATAGCACAGTGAAAACTAGGTTACCTGCAACTGCCAGACAATACTGTCAAACTCGCAGTCAGACCTCTAAATCCGAATGGCTTGCAAATCTTTTGCATCATTGGACGGAGAGTATGGAGTGGAGTTACTGCAAGTACAGCTGTGGGTGCTGTTTCTGCCTTCTGTCAAGTCAAGCACTTTAATCGGTTACAAGATAATAAAAAAAATGCAAGTACTGCCCACAGAACTATGGCTCCCATGTCCTTCACCTGTGAAAGACAGTTGTGCTAGAGGGTTTTCGCTCTAAACAGAAGTACTTTTCCTCGGCTAATGTAAACGCTCTACCTATTAATAGTAGGGAGGTTGGTCGTTAATACCTAAAACATTGTTTGCCGGAGCAGTGATGTCAGAATCTCTGGCAAAAATTAATGAGGATGTTGAGATTTCCGAATTCAAACCAGTGAAACAGACGTGTGTGAGCTGGAGTCGTGTATCTGAAACACCCGACAAGTGCTTATCGTTATGAAAAATGAGTAGGTCCTATTGGATGGAGGGCTCAAGCAAGTTCTCTATGGGCGGGACGGGGCAGTGGTGTCTGTGGGCAGAGCGGACATTTTTTTTCTTGGGTTGTGCAAGACTATAACCAGTTTTCAACTGTCACCTGCACTTGCCGGCGTGTGCAACGTACGCCTCCCTTCCTTCTTGTCGCCTTTCGCGGACATTCGTCGAGCCATTGCTTTCACTTCAGTGCCAGGTTCTACGGACGCGACGAATGCCGGGGACGCCCCAGACGGCCGCCCGGACCAGAAGCCAAAGCCCGTGGGCCTCCTGTACCGCTGCAACCTGTCCTAAATGTTGCCGAAGCCTGTCTCTTAAAGCGACTGCGATGTAATCTCGTCAATGCCGCCTGCGAATCGGCCATTGGTCGACCGTCCCCGATTGTGATCCACTGATGTACTGCGAGGGCACCTTTCGAGCTTTTCGGTTATTGACTACCCATTAAGAATGGCAAACGGAAAGTGTAATGCCGTGTATGCCGAAATCATGTTCTTGCCAATGTTGTACCAGGGAACTCGACGACACACCAATGATGGTACCAGTGTCAGCAGTGTTGCACACGTGACATCTTCGCTGTTTTCAACTACACTCAAACCTTGATATAAGGCATTTCGATATAACGAATTATTGGTTATACCGAAGTAAGTAAAGAATAGCTTTGTCATAGATACAGTGTTACAAATAATCTTTTATAACGAATTTTTGATATAACAAAGTATTTTCATGGCAGATGTGACCTTGTTATAATGAGGTTTGAGTGTACTAATCACTTCAGTTTGAATGTTTGCATCTATAGTCAAACACAACTTGAAAGGGAGCGATGCTTCCTTACCAAAGACGCATTAATACGGGCCTCCGCACTAGATGTAAATCTGTTGACGAAGTTACAAACGTGCATGAATGGGCATGCACACTAGAGCAACATCATAAGCTGGTGGCAGCCAGTGACTCCGTTGTTTGTCTCATAAACAAGGCCATTTCTTTAGTCATGGGGGCATACGGTGGTTGCAATTCAGTGGTCTGTGTGGGGCCTGTCTTGCTTTCTCAAGATGTGTCTTTATATAGTGATGTGACGACAAACAATCCCAAATTCATCTCAAAATGGCATATAGGTGCAAAATATTCGAGATTTCCCCGATTTTTTTAGACCTCACGGAGGGTAATTAATTACCTTCCATTTGAAACTGTGATCTCGCAAGCGTACATTTTTGAACACGCACTGTGTACATGGATTGACACAGACAGTGGGGAAACTGAATGTGCATGTGATGAGAAGCAATTCAAAATTCATCTATAGCGGCATATAGGTGCAAAGTATTTGATATTTTGCGAATTTTTCAGATATCGGGGATTGTTATTACCTTTCAGTTGAAACTGTGATCTCGCAAGCACTATATTGTTAAACACAAGCTGTGAGCATCAATTGAAAAGGATCCATTTTTCTAGTGTAAGCAAAAGTGTAAGCAAAAAGTAATGGTCATAGCTGTAGGCCAATAACATCAATTGCTTTTGCTTTCAGGTTAAACATTACATGCCCACTGATCTCCTCAAGTATACTGTAGGATGTCCCCTAGTTTTGAGACAAGTGTTTTTTATTAACAAAGAGACGCTTTGTATTTACATTTGTATGTTCCCGTTTTGTCTTTCCCAGCCACCTGTGTTTCACTATTGTTCCCGCTAACGCTAGACCCTTGCGCCGTGCACTGGCTGCTGCTCAAATGACGCGGCGCCGGTAAAGCCTTCGAAGCGACAGGCGCGGCGCCACCGATGCCTTTTACTCAGCAGCCGTCCAGTGTCCGGCGCAAGACGTCTTGCGGGAGGCTGGCACGCGCACGTTTTCTATGTGCTTTTGTTGTATCCGCCACTAGCACCTTTTTGGAGTCAGTGGTATGAATAAAACCATTGTGTGCAGACAGACTGCTGTTGAAGACTCAAATTCGATTGGCGCAAGGAAACTTTGCACGAGTCATTTACTTCTGGCGCGGTAGGCAGAAAGGCTACTACAGCAAACAGCGCATAAACGGGACAGAAAATTAGGGGAACGCACAACTCGATGCCTCCATTATGCATACCTTTAGTATGTCCCATTTGCAGAAGCAGAGTAACCATGAATGGAACAATAACAGTTTAAGGCTCAGTAATGCTCGCACTCTCATTTGCAGTATCTATGTTTCGTGTGATCTCGGCGTAAGTTTTACTCGAAAACTAACATTGAAGCATTAAGCAGCGAAATTGCACCATTATCACAAGCGATGGCTCATAGCAGCTGCTTTACTAAAAAAAAAACTTTATGAAGCAAGCAAGTGTACATTTAAAACCTCATTTGCTTTGTTAGACCCAGCAATAATGAGATCTAACAGACAATCATGCCAATGAAAATATAAGGGATGTTATAGAAGTTATTGTAATGTAAACATGAAAAAAAAATCGAATGAAAAGATAACTTGTCGTGGGCATGGACCAAACCTGCGACCTTCGAATAACGCATCCGATGCTGTACCAACTGAGCTATCACGGCAGTTAATGAAAATTCCATTGAGAGAACATGGGCATGGCACTGAAAGCAGGGCCACTCAACCTGCCACTTGAATGTGGCACGCTACCGGAGGGCAAGTGAAGGGGGTGATGAGTGGGGAGACCATGTGGTCGCAATATTCCACGCCCTGTGCGGCTGCAGCAAAATACGCGTGAAATCGATCAGCCACATGCTCTTTATTACGTATCCTTATACATAATATGTTTGTGCAACAACGCATTCCGCAGACGTCCAGCTGTCATCGTAGCCACCCGTACAAAACAGTGGTGTCAAACTGCACATGGTTGCTACCATTGCAGCCACACTCGCCGACTGAAGAAACGTTCGGAGACTGCGACCTTCAAGGGCCACGTGACTTGTCGCTCTGCGCCTACTCCGCTTTTCATGCTAGAACACTGCAAACTGCTCCTGGCTGCTCTCGGCGCAGCAAAAGCACTCTCGTTCCACCAGTGGATGACAGAGCTCTAACTCCTGTTCGACCATGTAAACACTCTGGCTTCAAAAATAGAACTTTCAGCATGCTTTTGAGTGCTCCTGCTCCCCCAATGCAATTCGCCATAAGTGTTTCAATGTGCGAGTACTATGGGCCTCAGCAGGGGAGGGGGGTGCAAAAGGGGCACTTGCCCTCACCAGCGCTCTTCCTAAACTGCAATGCAACAATGGTTTGCACCCTCCGAGAGAGAATCCTGCCGACGACCATGGCCAGTACTGAATGTCTTTGTACCAATGGTTCTGGCTAGCAATATTTTGAGAAGATTGAAATGTAAAGAATGGTGAAGAGCAAAAGGTTATTGCCAGACGACACAACAAATGTAATTGCTAAGCAATCACTGCAATGCTAAGGTTTTGCGTGATTGAGATCCACCAAGTCGGTCGCAGCTGCTGGCGAGCTATGTATGCCATGACAGTAAGCGCGACCGTATAAAAAGAAAGAAAGGGCTGCTTCAGTGATATACAGTAGACTCTCAGTAAAGAGAAATATTTTTAATGGAACTGCTGTTTAAATGGAACAAATGCTTCCGACAAGATTGGTTTCGTTCTTGCTTTGTGTACACTTGTTCATCTCTCGGTAAACAGAACTCCTGTCAAACGGAACACTTTTGACTGATCCCTTCAAGTTCCATTTAATGAGAGTCTACTATACCACATGTGGTTTCAAGGCCCAGACTTCAACATAATGCCTCAACGCTTTTACAGGGACACTAATGGCAAATATTAAGTCTATATTCATTGCTGAAATAGCGGTCCAGAAACCTCATACTGCTACTCTCGTGCCAAAAATATGCTTATTTTGAAAAAATAAAAGCGCCTTTTAGCGGTCCGCACAGCACTAGAGACAATTCAATCTACCCGCCTGAAAAATGGCCTCCTGATAGAGCAGTTGCCTTGACCAATGTTGCACGCCTATACTGCACGGCCGCCTACACTAGCAGTAGCCGGAGCTGTAGCAGCAACAACAGCCACCGAAGCTTGCCGCGATAGACGTCATCGATGAACCTAAAAACAAGCGAATGCATCGTTTTGACTGTCATGCCTCTGCGCCAGCACGAGCCATCTCATGCCAGCACGAGCCATCTCATGCTTCTCTAGAACTTCTGAGTGGGACAAGCGGCTGGCTCGGCACCTGCATCGTAGCGAAGCGCAGTTCGTTGACAGTTGAAGTGGCGGAGCTGCGGTCGCAGTGGATTGGTGTGGTTGGCACTGGTATTGCTGGTATCACATGTGTTCGTGCGTGGTATTCTGCTGTTAGCAGCGTTAGCTAGTTGAGCATGCGTGAACGCTGCTGCCGTTTGTCTCCATGTAGTATTGCACTGTGGTGGGAACCTTAAATGCCCAAATGAGCGAGTGCCAACGACGCCGGCATAACTAAAGCTAGGCTTTGCCATTGCTACGCGCCAGGATGCCGCACAGTCTATGCCGGCGTCAAAGCAGAAAGGACGTTGTCGCTTTTTAGCATTCCAAAGATGAAAATATGAGAAAAAATTTCCTCCATCGCAGCGACAAAGCTCTTGAGCGAAACTGCGTAGTGTGCAAGCTCCACTTGGAGGACCGCTACATACTCTGTAACTACATCCACTTCATCAACGGCAAAGAAGTGAGAATCACCTGCGGTGTATGCACGCTCACGTCGGACGCAGTGCCTACAATCTTGCTCAACTTTCTGAGGTATTTGACCATGAAAGTGGCTCCTAAATGCACCCCTCGTAAACGGGAAGCCCCTACCATGCCACGACCCCACAATAGCAAGAAAGCCTGCACGAACACGCCTGTCGACGATGATTTTGAAAGTCAAGTTGTATTGACAGCATCAGTGAAACTAGAAAACTTGCGAGAATTGAGGACTCAGTCTAGTTATTGGTCGAGGCACCAGTTTTCTCGGCCTACATGAGATATTTTGCATAAGGTTGCAGCATGCTCAAGATATGGTCAGTGATTGCAATAACAAAAAGAATAGAAAAGTATCTTCGAGGGGTGGGCAAAAAGCTGCGCAAAAGTAGTACAGCAAACCGACGACTGCCGCTGAGCATTTCCAAGGTATAAATTATAGCGCACTGATGCCGCAATCCACTTCTGAATTACTGTTGCCACTACAACTCTTAAATGCTGCATTTCGTAGAGAAAAACAACCTGATCAGTCAGTTGGCATCGTTGACGCGTGCATCGCTGTCCATCTCTAAAGGGAACATGGGAAAGAATACAGGACACACCTTAAGTTGGAAACCTTTAGAAGTCACTTTGAATTTCTTCTTGCTTTCTTCGATTTTTATGTCTGTTCTTGTAAATAGAGATAGTGCAGCCGGTGCACTCGATAACGACCAAACCACTTTGTCGGCAGTGCCCCTATTCCGTCAACGAGCGCCACCTCAGCAATAGCGCTGCGTCCGTCCCACTCGATCCTTTTATAGTACGCTCGAATTCAGGTGTCCAGCAACATCACGTGAATACAGCACTAGGAGATTTTAGGCTGTACATGTCTTTTTTTTAACATTACTGTGTTACCAGAATACCATATTCCGTTTGCCATGTCACCGGAACGCATGTTATAGCAAAGTTTTGCCACCTCATACATGAACATTTACGTAGTGTGTAAACGTACACATCTACGTTTGTGCAAACCATTAAACGATGATGTTAACTGCACTTGAACAATATTTGATTTATATAACATTAAATCACCGCTGCGGTAAAATCATGGGAAAGTTTTAGCATGCACAGCATCCCCGCATACGCAAAGGGTTGTAGAAATGCAGGGTTATTGGACGATGGTGTCGACACCTTGTGGCGCTTAGTGCAACTACAGACATTGACACGTTTGTTTTTGCCTGCCGTTGTTGAGAAAAATCCAACTCATTCGTTATTACACTTTTGCAAGGCATCCCCACCAGAAGTAGAATTCACAATGTTTCCGCAATAAAAATTTTTTTTGTTTCCTGGTTCAACTGGGCCCCACTAGATGGGCAACACCTAATCAGGCAAAAACGAAACTTTTGAACCACTCGCGTCATTCCCCAGGCAATGCCAAGCGGTTCTTTTTTTTCGTGAATTGAAGAAACAGACTAGCACCATTTTATTATGTGTTGTTATGCATGGAAGGAGCTTTATTTTCGATTACTAGCGATTGATTTTACACGAGACTGTCGACGTCATTGCATCCGACTCGTGGAATACAATGATGTCATTGTACATTTTAATATATCCCACTCGTGGTGCATATAGTATTGTACATTTACCTTAATTTCTTGATTATTACACCACTGCTGCTGTTAATAGAGACATTTTAGACGTTCTCAAGCATCTGTGTTTTACTCTGACGTAAATTGTTATTTGCCTTTAGAGTTGCTTTAAGTGTTGCACAATTGCCTACTCATTCCATTTTACAATAATTAGACACATGTTGCTGGCAATAGAACAGGTTGCTTTTCCACATTTCCCAAAGTTCAGGTGCAGTATCGAGTAGAGTAAAAACAACGCTACAAGCTTTTAAATTTTTGCATTCAAATTTGTCGATTTCTGACTTGCCACACTGCCACCGCATACGGTGTTCACACCAACATAACGCAGCTCGCACAACTCCCCCCGCAGTTTTCTGCACTCATTCTTCAGTGCGTGTATCTGCTCCTCGTAGGCCTCTATAGTCAGCCCCGTCACGTGCGTCTGGCAAGCCACAGACGTCACGGCGGGGGTGCCTGGAAACGGTACAACATCAGGTGTTTGTCGGTCAGAGCTTCCTACTAAAGTCACAGCACTAAGCCTAACATGGCGGTCAGCATCCTCACTGGGCTCCTCCAGAGTTCCGGCACTAAGCACATCAGCATATCTGCATGAAACCACATTCGAAATTCGTATCGAGGTGACGTCGGCTGCCTCCTGGTGGTCACGCTTAGAGTGAGACCTATCCCCCAACAGATGACGTATGACCACAGGCGTTGTAGTCGTACTTGTAGGAGGCCTCTTCAAAGACTCCACCTTGCTCGGTGGCTCGCCGTCGATCGAAGAGCGATCTTCGACACGCAGTTGCTTCCTGGGCTGACCTCGGCGACCGGGCTTTTGGTTGCCGCAGGCCTCCAGGAACAGGGTGGGTGTAGCGTGAGGTGCGAGGTAGCGTTTTCTGGGGCCCTGTATGTATTCGTCCTTGGTGAAGTGCTTGCTGCATATCCTCGCGTACTCCGACGGCACCCACAGATCCGCGGGATCTGCGACGCGGCAAGCATTAATGCTAATCACGGAGTCCCACACTGAAAACACATGTGGACACACGATTTAACCCGGATATACCGAATCGGAAGGGGTTCACTAAAAAAGTTCTATATTTAAGTTATTGGATACATAAAAAGTCTTTTATATACCGCAAATATATTCAAGGGGACCTTATAAATGTTCCAAACACCCAGTCATTCTATATAAGCGTGTTTGGTGAGGAAAGGGCTGACGTCACTTTGTGGTGTGTGCCACACCCCACCTTACCCAATGGTCCTATTTGTTTAGAAACCCTTGCTCATTTCACAAAACACCTGTATAGTATATGTAAATGAAAGGAGAAAGCATTGAGGGCTTGTTTCTCTGTTTGACACAATGTTAACAACAATTAGCAGATAATTGAAGCCATACAAAATACAGGGGCATTTATTGCACTGTAATTGAGGAATATATACAAGAAAAAGTAAGATCGACAAAAAAAAAAAAACAACTTGCCACCGGCAGGCACCAAACCGTCAAGGTAGTATGCAAAGTCTTATTGGTCAACTGTCTGCTCATTAAACTATCGCATATCATGATATGCCAGCTGGCAAAAGAACGAGTGTTCCACGCTCGCCACGAACACATTTTACTAACACTCCCAGGTTTTACGTGCACGCACACAATACCCGAAGAGAACGAGAAAACAACCACTATCAAAGTTCATCTGCTAAGAGCATCGAGCGTGTAATCCGAAAATTGCACGTTCGGTCTTTGCCAGTGGCTAACCATATTTTTGTCCACTTCACTTTTCTCGGGTATATTTTACAATTATTACAATATACTTAAAACGATACAATTTATGTCCCTTATAGTACTTTCCTTCGCTTAATTATCAGCTGGTTTTGATTAACACTCTATCATATAAAGACAAAGGAGGAATCCTTGAACGAGGGGCATTGCTCACGCAACGTTGCAACAAGTGGCCTTGCTTTGCCTTCAAAACAGCAACTTTGAATAAAACAAGACTATTAATCTCAACATTGAATCTAGCAACATGCGCAGTTCGAGAATTTTTCCTCTCTCCAAGCCTCTGTCTTCTCATGCATATATGGGCATTCCACGTATACTGCATATCCGAGTAATTGCAAATGCTGCGTACAATCGAAGATGTACTCTATTCACAACACTCGAACAATCAATATCGCAGAAGCCCACTTTGCATTGCGCTGAATTGGCAAGGAAATAACAAATTTTTAGATATTGTAAATGCCCTTTGCACCAAGCGACCACAACACAAAAGTACCGTATAGGGATGGGACATACAGCACGACGAAACACCAACATAAAACTTTTAGTGTTACCGAGAAAAAAACGGAAAAAAAATGACATATCATCGAAATTTCACTCGGAAAACGTGACAGTTCGAATAAACACACCATATTTCGCATATTTTTGAACAGTCGGCTGCACCCTTGGAGGATTGTGAGCGCACGCGACGTTGCGCATCAACGGCCAGGACATCGACATCTCTGAAGCTGGGGACACGCTTTTCCTGTCCTGCTACTTCCATTTTTTCACCTCTCCTTTGCAACCCACTATGCCCCTTCCACAAAAACACTGAGACATGACCCACCCGAAAACATTCCTGGTTCTGGAAGCCGTAGCGGGCAACGGCTAGTATGGCTGGCACGTCCGTTTTTGAGGGCATTAAACGTGACCCCCCTATAGTTCACTGTGCTGCAGTTTATGAAAAACACATCAAATTCACTACTTTCCTCCCGTTTTAGTCCAAAGACAAGGTTGTTAATGTGTTTGTTAACAATGTCAGCACCCAAGGCTTCAAGTGGACTAAAAATCTTGGCGGCAAGAGTTTTGTTCAGTAACTGTTTACCACACGCCAAGTCTCGCCACGAATATGTGCCAGCTCGCTCAGTACAGCACTTCACTTCTGTTTATCTCTCTCAAGACAGCTTTCAGTAAACTGATACAGCAGCTAGCTGGTTGAATCGGATCACTTGCCTCGACAGGGCGGCCGGAGTGCACGCACAATCTGCGTCCACAACTGTCGGCGCTCCGATTTGGACGGGAACTCGTGAAGCACCACATCGCTGGTGATGCCCGCTAGGGAGCCGCAGCCCGGAATCGCACAGCACACGATAGATGGTGGCGTCGACTGGATTGGATGATGGCTGGTACTGTCACCCTTACTGTGCACGGCGGTACGCCCTACAACCTGCAGACAGCACAATGTGCAGGAGACATGTGAGCGTGCACCTAAGTGGCGAATGGAAGGTGCAAACATCGATAGAAGGAAACAATAACGCTTGGGAGTTTCACGCCACAAAACTACAAGCGCACGAAAAACATGGGCAGAAAAAAAAAAATGCACACCTAAACACACGTGCGCCTCTGTATGCTTACATGTTTTTCTTTATCAACTTTTTTCATGCACTTTTACATTGTTTGAAACTGGATTAGCATAGTTTCTCAACAGCCACTCTGGCATCGCTACAGGCTTTTGTTCAAGTAGCGTCCCTTCGTATTTTCGCAAAGCTGCTATTAGGCTTCATGGGTGTCCTTTAACTCATCCGTGTTTCTATAGAACTTTTTTTTTCTTTACGACAGATCTTATATCAACTGGCTTGCATCCAAATCCTTCTGAAACAACTATCATTGAAGCAGAGTTCCCGTGTGCTCCTTATTTGTTGCTTCTGTAAAAGTGGCGAAAACCATATAGATGGCAGCTCTCCTTTAGTTTTTTAAGCTCTCTCCCTTAGTCCAGTGTTTGTTCAAGTTATAAGATTCAAATCACTTCTTTGCGACATTCATTTACAATTACTGGGTTTCACGCGCCAAAACCATGATTTATACAATCAAGAGGCAGGACATATTGGGAGCGTCCCGATAATTTCGAACACCATGGCAGGGGTTCCTAAATGTAAACCCAAATCTATGCACACAGGTGTTTTTCGCGGTTCATCCCCATCAAGACACAGATGCTGTGGCCGGGAATCAAACTCACACCCTCGAACTTAGCCACACGAAGTGTTACATGCTAAGCTACAACAGTTATCATTCGTAGTGAGGGTCTCGTTCGGCCACACTTAATGCTTTAGGTAGTATGCGAGGGCTTACTGGTTAACTTCCAGTTCGTAACAAGTTCACGTGCTAAGTGGCACCAGCTGACAACAAGTCTTCCACACTCGCCGTCATGGCTGAGGCTGGCACTGATTCGCATTCTCAGGATTAGCCTAACATATTACTCAACAAAGTGGATTGAAAAGTGATCACTGCTGTAACTCGATTGGTGGAGCATCAGATGCATTATGCAAAGGCTATGGATTCGGTCTCCAGCTGCAACAAGTTCATTTTTCATCCACAAAACTTACTTTCTATTTCATGTTATATAATACGACTATTCTGCAGTTTAATGGATCCAACAGATAGCGAAGCTGAGGAAAATGCAGGGGACATTAACGAAAGGCTTTAACAGCAGTGCAGAGAATACCTTTCATAAATAATGACAAACCATGTCCCCAATACTCTCCTTGGTTTCATTATCTGTCGGATCACCTCAGCTTACGTTTAACAATGATAAGGGCCCTCGATCATTCCCCTCTTTTGTTCACCACGTGTTTCCGCAACATTCTACGATGGAAACCTCGCCGTCGACTTCTATCCGAAATCGCCCCTTCATTCGTCACTGCACAGACAAGCACTTCAGTCAACATCGTGAACGCTGCTTACGGGCGATGGCTCAGAAGAATCTTCATCACGGTGCGACTTGGTAGCAACTCGCTTACGCGCTGCGCCGGAGGCTCTCTTCGAGGGCGGCTTTACACGCTCGGAAGGGACATCGAACAAGCTGGGAATCGCACCCTTTCTTAACACGCGGAACTTGCATCCCTCTTTGAAGTCGCCCGGGAGGAAGTGCTTGCTGCAGACGACCGAATAGCGCGATGTCGTGTTGGGAACCCAGTCCTTCCTGGGGATCCGTCTCAGCCACTCCTCCCTCAGCTCGAAGTCGCTGGGAATTTCGTGGAAAGAAAGGCCCGGCACTTTGTTCTTCGCGTTGGATCCGCACTTGGGCACGCAGCAGTACGACATCGTTCACAGCATAAAGGCTAAAAAAACGCGCCACAATCTCTGCGCGAAAAAAAACGCGCACCACTAGAGACCACAAAAGACGCGCACACGCGTTGGCTCGAGCCTCGACGGTGTTTTGTGCGTCGACCGGCTTGAAAGAAACCGTCCACGATGATGATGATAATGTGTGTGATCCCTTCGTTTCGACGATAGTTATAGCGCTAGAACAGAACAACGATAAAGCGACAAGAAGGACCCGAAGGACTTAAGCGCTCGTGTCATTCTTGTCTCTTTGCCGTCGTTCTGTTCTCGCGCTACAACTATCGTCATGCCATACCAACTAGCCCAAGCTGCCACACCCGTTCGTATCGGGCGGGAAAATCAAATGTGCCCTGTTCAAAGAACTGGTAAATTGAGAAAAGAAATTACACTCCAAGGACGCACCCCGGTGACAAAATCGGGGGATCATTTTCAGAGCGCTGACCGCTTTTGAATGTGGTAAATTAAGCGGCGTCAACATTAGAGGTAATATACAGACTAGCGTCGAAGCCCTGCAGCAAGAGATTAAGCCGGCAGGTCTGCAAGTTGCGGTCCCTTCTTCCTTATCGTGCACTGGCCCGCTTACTTTGCAAGCAATGCTTACTTGCTGCACTTTATCAATTTTTCAGAGCTTCTGGGGTGTTCCGCAACATGCACTTGAATGCAGTACTACTATAGGTGCATGCGTAGACGGCCGCATAAAGTGGAAGAAAAGGGCAAGCCACCTTCCAATCACCGAATAGGGGAGGGCGCAAAATATGCCCCACACTTTGACCATAGAGTTAACTCTTTGACTTAGGGCGGGGGAGGGACGCGCTGCGGTGAGCATTAGCCCCCCTCCCTCCCTCTTCAGATACAGGGGGGTAGGCAAAGGGGAGGTTGCGCGGCTCCAGCAGCAAGAGCGTACTTTGACCTACAAAGTGAGGTCGCACACCCCCCTTTTGACAGCTCGTACCTTTGTGCGTGCTGCATGTTATATCAAGGGTATGCACTGCCTCCTATAAGCAGATATCCATACCTTTGTGTATGCTATGTTCTCCGCTTATTTTCCAATGAACTGACAGCACAGTGGACACTTTGCTCGCTGCAGCAGCCGTCTTTCTTTTTGCCATTTGTATACCATTCCAACTTATCACTGCATTCATTGCTTCAATTTTTCAGCGAAACAGTTATGGACAAGTTGTATCCCTGCAACCTGTCCTAAATGTTCTCCAAGCCTGTCTCTTAAAGAGACTACGATGTAATCTCGTCAATCCTGCCTGCGAATCAGCCATTGGCAAACTGTCCCTGAATGTGATCCACTATAGGTGCCTGATGTGCAGCGAGGGCACCATCCGAGCTTTTTCTGAGCACATCAGTTATTCAATACACGTTAGCAACTGCAAATAGAAATTTTATTGCCATGTGTGCCGAAATTATTATTTTTTTTTGCCAATGTTTCACCGTGGAAATGATGGTTACCAGTGTCGGCAGTGGGGTACCCACAACACCTTGGGCGTTTCCAACTATTCATCACTTCAGCTTGACTGAATGTTTTCTCTATAGTCAAATACAACTTTGAAAGGCAGGAACAGTTCCTCGCAAAATACGCATGAATATGGACCTCCACACTATATTGTAAATTTACTGACGAAGTCACCAAAGGTGCATGAATGGGCACGCATGCTAAACAGACATCATAAGCTAGAAGTGGCTGGTGACTCCATTGTCCAGCTCACAAACAACACCATTTCTTTAGTGGCAGAGGCATATGGTGGTTGCACTCCAGTGATCTGTGTGGAGCCTCTTCTGCTTTCTTAAGATGTGTCTGATTAAAATGATGTGATGAGAAACAATTAAATATTCATCTAACAATGGCATATAGGTGCAAACTATTAGATATTTCTCTGATCTTTTCAGGCTTCAAAGAGTGTAATTACCTTTCGGTTGAAAGCGTGATCTTGCAAGCGTACATTTCTAAACACACGCCATGAACATAGATTGACAGGGAAGCTAGAGAAACTAAATGTGCTAGTGATGAGAAACAATTTAAGATTCATCGCACAGCAGCATATATGTGCAAACCGTGAGATTTCCCTGATATTTCATCAGGGAGTGTATATACTTTTCAATTGAAACTGATCTTGCAAGTGTGCATTGTTAAACACTCGCTGTGAACATTGATCAAAAGGGAACTACCTTCCATTTTCTTAGCGTAAGCAAGAAAAGTAATGGTCATAGCTGTACGATGACAGCGTCAATCACTTTTGCTCTCGTGTTAAACATTACACGCCCACTGATCTCTTCAAAGATGTTGTAGGATGTCCCCTAGTTTAAAGACAAGCATTTTTATTAACAAAGAGAGGCCTTCTATTTACATTTGCGTGTTACCATTTCGTCTTTCCCAGCCATCCGTGTTTCACTCTTGTTCCCGCTATCGCTGGACTCTTGCGGAATGCACTAACTGCTACTCAAATGACGCAGCGCCGGTACAGCGTTCCAAACGACAGGCGGGGTGACATCGATGCCTTTTACTCTGCAGCAGTTCTGTGTTTGGAGCAACACGTCTTGCAGACGATCGGCATACGCATGTTTAGTATGTACTTTTATTTTGTCCAACGATATCACCTTTTTGGTGTTGATATGAATAAAGTGATCCCTAGTGGACAGACTAATGTCGAAGACTCAAATTCATTTTACTCAAGGAATCTTGCACAAATAATTTACTTCTCTGATTCGTTATGACAACGTGGTAGCACAACAAACAGGACAAAGGTCACAAACAAGCAGAGACTGAAACTTGGTTCAATCGTAGCAGAAATATATACAGGGAAAAGAAAACGAGGGGTAAAGAGGTTGCAGGAGAAAGGCCCAAAGCTCAGCATAATTTCTTTTTTCCACTTTTAAAGAGGCACTAAAGACAAATACTGAGTAGCTGTTCATTGCTGAAACAGCGGTCCAGAAACCTCGTAGGACTACTTTCATGCCTAGGAAATGCTTACCTTTAGATAATATTGAGTTTTAGTTTTCCACACAGTGTTAGCGCACTTCGATTTGCCCACCTGAAAAAGGGCCTCCTGACAGAGCCCTACCCCATACGTGAACATTTACACACATACCTGAATGTTCACATTTACATTTTGCACGAACCACTAAATGGTGTTGTTAATTGCATTTAAACTATATTTCATTTATATAACATTGCATCTCCACCACAACAAAACCATAAGAGGTTTTTGGCACGTCATATGCAAGGGGTTGTAGGAATGAGTCACCGGACGATGCTGTCGGCACCTTGTGGCGCTTTGTGCAACGACAGTCATTGGCACGTCTGAATTTGCCTACTATATTTGAGGGAACAAAAACCATTAACAAGGCAACTGACTCATAATTGTCGCCAGAAGTAGAATGCACAATGCTTCTGCCATAACTTTTTTTTTTGTTTGCCTGGTTCAAGTGGGCCCCACAAGATGGCACCCCCTATCCAGCCGAAACAGGCAAAAACGGAACTTTAGAACCTTTCCCGCCATTCCCCAGGTAATGTTAAGCGGTTCTTTTTTCCAAGAATGAAAGAGAAGCGGACAAGCAGCATTTTATTATGTGTTGTTATGCACAGAAGATGCTTTCACTCCTATAACTGGTTCAATTACCAGTGATTAATTGTACTGAGGACTCCTGACATCATTGGGATCATTTCAAAGTGTCCCACTCATGGAGCATATGATGTTGTACATTTACATTAAAGGGGCTCTGCAACAATTTTTGAGCGTGGTCAGAAAACGCTGCCGATCGGTGGTAGAGGTTCCCGACAACACGCGAGCCAAGAATTATAGCCCAGCACGTGGCCTGGAATTCACAATAAATTACCAAAATCAGCTAAAAATTGCTTTCTCTTCTCTCAACAAATGACTGAAGACGCCAAAAATCACTCATACGAAGCCCACCTTTCAGCTATTGGCCGATTTGAACATGGCCCGCTTTGTCGTTACAGAGATCATTGCAGCAGGCTAGGACTTGTCCACACATGCGCACATGATCACATTGAAAAAAGCGCACATTCAAAAAAGAAAAAAGTATTCAAGGTCACGAGGTGCAGGTGACGTATTTTTTTTACCCCTGCCATCCATCCCTGCTTAGCTTCCAGCGCTTTCGTCGGGACGAGAAAAGAGAAAATTCAATTGCAGCATGCGACAAATCTTTGTAACTCCACTCGCACTGGACGGATTCTTAAATTTTTTCTGGAGTTGAATTCGTGAGGCAATAAGCTCTTCCAGTGAATACATTCCATGATTACTTAAAAAAGTGTTTCAAGCTCCTTTAAATGAAGATGCGATTAGAAAAAAAAAGCTGCATTTATCTGTAGCCTAGGAGAATGAAATTTGGCTGTATATACATACTTTTATGCTGATTTCAAATATATAGCTGTTTTATAGTAAGTTTCTCAGTTTTTATTTTGTGCCATGCCAATGTGTAAAGTATAGTTTGCTTTGCACAAACTTTTTATGCCATTAAACATGTATGGTTCTGAGCTCATATTGGTCCGCATTAACTGTAAAATGAAAATAACTATCAAGAAAGTACATATCAAACATTTTATCAGTAGACAAAAATTGTAATGTGAGAATTCCAAGAATTCTCAGCTTATACTAATCGCTTACTTTATGTTTGAGATAATTATACATGCAATATAAAGATTTAATTAGATACTTGCGCCTTTCGTGTGTTACGCAATACGCGAGCAAATTTTCAGCGGAATCGGGTGTTACGACCGTCATCATTATTGAAGTTTTTCGGCTTTGTGAACGGGACGAAAATATTTCGACGCATTCCAAGCCAGGGTGTGCCGTCAAGACGGGTTTAATTTTTCTCGGCAAAACCTGAACGAGGGGTTCGGGACTGGTTCGCGCAAAGAAAACGCACGAGCCAAGAGAGGCCCTTGTGAGCTCGACTCAAGAATGGCCATTGTGTTTGCTGGGAGCAAAGCTTTTGAGGCAGACAAGGAGGCAGCTGGGCCATTTTCGAGGTCACCGAGGATCTGGAAATCTCGAAACCAGCATGGTATTTGCAGTTCAGGCTGAAAGCTAAAGCCAAACTGG